TTGAAAGTGTATGCCCTGAAGACCTTTTGCCAAACATACCAACTCATACAATGTCTTCAGCTCGCAGACATGCAGAAGGCTCCTGGTGTCCATCTATCGCTGTCAACATTGGTTCTGGGAGGAAAGTGGTGAAGATTTCCATTCCATTCTAGGAACATTTGCAAACACAGGTTTTAAGTTGCATTAATTGAACCATGTGGATTCCTTCTTGTATGCTTCCTGCCATGTTCCTGTTACCTGAGGATGACTTTTGGGCAGCCAGAAAGCAACTTTTGTTCTCTGTCATCAAGGCTGCAGATGCCTCTTGATCCTTCCTAAATGAAGCTGAAACTCTGATCTGATCCAGCTCTTGACAAATGTTTCATTTGAACCATTTGAGGTCTACTGTTAACTTGACATGCACAGTTCTGTGCATCTACTTACAGGTTTTGCATAATTGGGCTCCAGTGCTCAGCACTTTTAAGGTTCAAGGCATTGAAGCCAAAAACTGGTCTTCCTCTCTTAGTCAGTCTGGGACCTGGGACAATTTCACAGTGTAGTTTTTCTTACATTTTTCTTTCTTTCTTTTTTTTTTTTTTTTCTATTGCTTTCATTTTCTCATTTGTCAAATTGTGTTGTATTTCTAAATGGTTAATACTTGGGTTTGTAAACTTTTTAAAGGAATCCTTGTTTTCAAAAAATAGTTGCAATTTAACTCGGGAAGAAAATAATTTTTCCCTTAGAAAAAGGGAGATATCACCTCTTCCTGGGGGAAAAAAGGGAATTTAGTCTCCACTGCTTGTCAGATTTAGATATCCCAGAAACTGTGCAGCAGTGAAACTAAGGGGAATTTAAGAGGAATTTAATCTGCCTTCAGACAAATGTTTTGTAAGTAAAAATTGCAAGAGCATATGATTCTTGTCTAACACCTTGGGAATATTGATAGATGGGATGGTAGCACTTACAGGAAACCAAACACTGACTGGTTTCTGTATTTCTCCATCTACCTTTCCAATATCAGATAATTTTACTCTTATGAAAAATGGACAGCATGCAGTGGATGGGAGGGAAGAAAACTTTTAAATACATTTAACATTAGAATGCCAGACCTGTTCTGTGAGATAAGTGGCCAACAATACAGTGATGTCAGTATGATAGAAAAAGTGTATGCACGTATTTTTTAGAAACAACTTAGTGTGTTTTATTTCACTTGTGACAAAGTATTGTATTACTTAGTTGTGAACAATATGTAATCATGGTATTAAGCATATGTATTTACTTTGCTAACACTTTTACTCCGTTATTCCTTTTTTATTATTATTTATTTACTTTTATCAGAAGAAGATGAAATCAAATTTTGTTGTTATCATTTGTCTGAGCAGAGTTTGGGCTGAGTTACGCTCTTCAAGTGAAAGCATTTAAGTCTGGAAGTAATACTAGCCTTTAGTACATGCTTAGAGCTGAAAGATTTTCAGTGGAGTTGCTGCCGTCCCAGCAGCAAGCCCCAAGCAAGCAGTGGGGGGCAAAATATGGTAAGCTTGCTGTACTGTGAAGAGAAGAGCAGAAGCAAGAGAAGGGAGTGGATTCACAGAAATACTTAAAATACTTTTTCTTCTAGAGAAATGAAAATGACATTTATTGGAAGCCAAATTTCTTACAGCGCTGTCTCAGCTTCCAACATGTCTGTATGACTGTTTCATTTAGTATTTTTCCAAAAAGCAGAGCTGGCCTGTGCTGCCACATAACTGTGTATATAGTGCTATTTTACTTCAAATGAACATATTTTTTGAGATGGACTTTGCATTTAATTCTGTGTTAGCTCATACATAAGAGTTTCTATCATGACAATATGCCTGAATCTATATAATGAGCTCAGAAATATTGAAAAACTCCACTTGAAGTGGAGATAAAACCTCGTTTATGTTCTTTGCATTGTTAATAATTTGGCTATTTGCTACATGTTCTGTTTCAAATATCAGAGAGGGCCAAGTCTACTTTGTGGTTTTAAGCATCTTTGCAAAGTCTCCAGTTAAAAATGAGTCAACTGTATAGTGAGTGGTCAGGTGTCCAATGCTTTTTGCGGCTGAGAATTAGATTCCTGATGATGGACCGTGATTCATAATGAAAACAAACTTGAAAGAAAGTTTATACCTGCTGTGTGCTGTGGGAGGCCCTAGTAGGTTACCTGAGGAGAGCTATGCAATGTTTTTGTATTTGAAATTAACACGTCACTTTCAGAGTAGGAGTTTGGGAACCTGTCTGAAGCCATTCCCTATGCCAGAAAATGATGTAATTGGCCAACGGCCAACATCATATTGTGGGAGCTAGTGTCTGTTCTGCTTTAAGATTGATATAACAAATGCTTAAATGAAAAACTGTTGCTGTTCTGATTCTAGCAATTTCTGTAATAAGATTTCTGTTTACAAGATAAATGGAAAGTTTTTATCTCGTCAGCTCTCCAAGTAGCATTGTGTTATTGCTGCTGACGCTGGCTTCTTATAAGCACATTGCAATTGCCTCTCCTGCAATGTGTGCAGCCACTTTTTTAACAGTTTTCTTTTTCAGATATGGGTTCTCACGCACACTTGCATGAGCTTCTACTTTGGGGGCCCGCTCAAAAGTCAGAAGCACTTTTTCCACTGCTCTAAGAGCTCAGGGAATGGGGCTTGAACGTATTACCCATGCATAGTGATTTTCATTAGGAGCAAGACACCGAGCAGTCAGAGGCAGCTGATTATGACTCACTGTCCCACACCCCTGCTCTCAAATGTCTCTCTTTTCCAAGGAAAGTAACCGTCCTTACCAGCAGATGTCCCTTTGCTTTTTCTTCCACCATAGATTATAAGAGCAGGAAAACTACTGGCAATTTCTTCATGTAGAACGTTGTAGTTTCACTGCTAACAGTTGGTAAATAAAGGAGCAATATGTGGAAAATTGTAATGATTTTCTTTTTCCTTGGAAAATCCTTTTTTTTTTTTAACAGAAATGATAATAATAATCCACCAAATAAGGTAGAGAAACTACATTGTCTTTAATGCAGCTGTTAAAACATGAATGTAGAGGTGCAGTATGTGGCTCTGTGTTCATATATAGCAAATAGAACTGAGAAGTGTCAGCTGATAGCTTTGTTTCTGTGTCAGCTAACAGCAAAGTAGAAATGGAAGCCAATTATAAGTGGCTTAATGCAGCATTAGAGCAAACAGATGTGCATGGAATTTTTCTTCCACAAGAGCAAACCAAACACAAAAACACTCTTAGAAAAACAGTCTTTCATAAGTTTATACACTTGATGATTAGATAGATCAAAGGATTAAAGTTTCAATGACAAAATACCTGCATTCTGGTTGGAATTGTATTTAATATTTATGGGTCAGACTTCTTAAAAATGTAGACCTATTGTACGTGGCCTTCCCCTCTTCCTGACAGTGATTACTGTGTTGGGATTTACTCATGTCTCTTCTGACACTCTGCATGGATTAGTACAGAGCAGTTTGAGCATCTGGTCTGGGCGTAATATTCTTCTGTACATTTTTCTCTATGCGCAAAATATTTCACTCATTAACTCCCAAAAATGAACAAGAAAGTCAGACTAAGTCTAGCTGTAAGTCCTCTAAGCCAGAGAGGCCAAGCAGAGTGGCATTGCCAAGCTCTATCCATCAGCTGGAGATGAAGGTGACAAAGCAAGTGCCATCTGTGTCAGAGAATGGCCAAGGCTGCCTGGGCCTGTTGGTGCTGTGGGTGTGGATTCCATTACATGTAGAATGTGCCTAGGAAACATCTTCAGAAAATTCCACGGAGACAGAATGCATGGAAGAAGTAATTGCGCAACCAATTTTCTTAACATCAGGAAGGAGTCAACAAGCCCAGCGGTGCATTAGGGATGTACAAAGTTTCGTTAGAAAATATCATAAGAGTATTAAAAGTGACTAGTGAAACAGTTTCCTTAAAACTGATTTTTTTTTTAATCTTAGACTACAGTCTTACTACCTCAGAGACTGACATGATGGTAAATAAAATTAATGCCAGACAGTTGGAAACGCAGCATGAAAAAATAGCAGATCTAATATGCTTGTTTCAGCTACAACATTATTAAAAGATCATAGAATCATATGATATTTTTCATAAATAATCAGCTGAACAAATACAGGATAGAAACAAACTGGTCTTATAGCAGTTCTTCTAAGAAGATTCTGGAAACTTAATGCAGTTTACAAGGTGAATTTGAGTTCAAGGTATTGCATAAAAGATAAGCACCATACACAAATGCATGATTTTTTTCAAAAGGCACCAGAAATAAGCTCTCTGCTACCTTCACTCTGGCAGATTCAGCCAAGTACTGCATCAAATCGTAGGAAGACCATTTCAAAATAAGTGGAAATGGAGAAAACCCAGGAGAGAGCAATGAGAATAATTAGAAGTCAAGAAGACACAGCATCTGTGGAATGATTGATCTGCTCCAGTGTAGTTTTAGTGAGAGATGATAGAAATACCTATTAAGCCTACGTGAGCCTACAAAAATGTACAAAGCTGAAGCAAATGTAAAAGAAATTATTTTCTTTCTGTGTTAAGAGGGCAGAATGTAATGAGATGAAATATTAGCAATGCATTTTCAGGTTATGTATTTGGAAAATCTTGTTAATAGTGATGGCAATAAAGCAGTGCAATAAATTGCCAAGACTATAAAGTCTGTGTTATGGGATGTATTCTAAGAAGAAACTATAAGGCACGTCAGACATGGCAGTGTTGATCTGGTTTTGGATTACAAGAATGGCTGTTGAACTTACCAGCTTTGTGATTTAGAGAAAGCAGAGACAGGTCAGTTTACACAGTAGGACCTGCTATTGTATCTCTTTCTTACTCAAGACCATAAAGCTCTGCTATTTCATTTCCAGTTTGAATTGCCTTCTACTCCTTTTATTTCCTCTCAAGTGTGCTGTAGAGCTAATATCCCTTCTCATATTTATGAATTGGGATTATGTGATGTTTAATCAAGTGAGAGAAATATTAAATGTTTTTTGTAGGTTTATTTGAAAAGCAGTGACCTTGGAAGCTCTGTAGATGAAGTAGAGCAACTGATTAAGAAACATGAGGCTTTTGAGAAGCTACTGGCATCACAGGATGAGAAGGTACAGTAAAAATAAGGAATATTCTACCAATATAGGAGCTGGAATAATTCTATTTGTTTTTTTTAATGTGGCAACAGATGAAATTGCTGAACAGATGTGATGTGCCTGATATGCTTGAATCAGAGAAAAATGGGGAAGCTTAGTGAAATAACAGACAGAGTAGTGGAGAAAAGTGTTAAACAATCCATGTCCAAGTCTTGTCTGCATTGTCTTGAAGTAGATGAAAAAAACACTTAGAAAATCAAATACTGGGACTTAGGAGGAAAAAAGATACTTAAAGCAGACCATACTATGTTATGGATACCAGAAGTTTTCACCTTTTTTTCTTAAAAAGAATGTGGCTTTTGAAGCATGTAAAATACGGTATGTCAGAGTTGATGTTTTGCTAATTATTTCAATATATGTTTATTATATAATGTCTTACTAAATTGTCTAGTCTCTTTGCATCTGTGGAATTGAAGCTGGACTGCTCACCCACACCTAAAAGAATCTGGTTGGCTGATGGCCAGTTGCTGTAATTCATCCGTGCTAGGGCTAAGCTCTGAAACCTGGGCCCGTGCCTGTTTCTCCAGATGGAATGAGCTCCCAGCCCTGTACCTGCTCCCTGGCAGATTTATTGTTGGGTTGAGAACTACCTCCCAACACCTGATTTCCACAAAACAATAAAATCCAGGCAGTCATAAGTGCCAGGCTTGCTCTATGACTCCTTGCTCCAGCTGATCAGAGGGAAAAGGACTCCTGTAGCTTATTTCATCTAAATAATCACAGCGTGCTAAAGTAACAAATGATAAGGATATAGTGGATATGTTGTAGTACTGGGCAGAGGGCATTGTGGGGGAAATGCTGATTAACCTGTCCCTAATATTTTTTTTGCTCCTTCCAGCAAAAATGGTATGGAAATTAGCCTGAAGTTTTATTTCTTTAACACCACTTGAAAGCAATTAATTGACTTTAGATTTGTTGCCTTCTCAGATGATGTCTCTTCAAGAACAAGCGAACAAACTAGAAAAGGATGGTGGATTGGATGGGATACAGATTCAGCACAAACTGAACACCATTCTTCAGAGGAAGCAGCAGATCAAGAATCTCTCCCAAAGCAGGAGAGAAAAGCTGCAGACCGCCCTTCTTCTGGCACTTTTCTATCAGAACTTGGCAGAGGTAAGAGAAATTTAGATGAGGGTGGGAGTAGAAGAATGGGGAACTGCTTACATCTGTCGGATAAAGTTCTTGTTCTTGCCAGAGATTAGCTGAACTGATAATTTACTGAGATGGCAACTGCTGTACTGCTGCATTCATGTGGTAGGTGAGCCAATACCATTGCTTTTACTATATGTACCATTGTTGTGGGATTGTGACCATTCGAGCTTCTTTACGCATCAGGAGTCCTGATAAAACAAAATAATCAAAAAGTAACTGCCAGCCACTACTCTGTGCTTCCTTTATGGGGATAGAAAGAGTTTTAAGGCAGAGTGAACACAGTGTGGAAAGCAATATGGCAAGGGCACCAAGCTCTACCAGTGGATGCTTACTGAAGGCCTTCAAAACAATTCTGTAAGTGAGCATAGTTCTTCAGCTACAGTAAGTGTGTCTCTACAGATTAGGTTAGCCTGTATCCAGTTCTGGCCATAGTCCTGTAACCAAGCAGCTCTGTTCCTGGCACAATGGTTGGGAAGATACAACAGGTTGGTTTTTCAAAGGATAACACCGTGTTGTGACTGAAAAATGTCTTAACATCCAGTGTGCTGACATGGGCAACAGCACATAGACAAGAAGGGACATTTGCAAACACTCTTGCTGGTCTGATAAGCCCTTCTGTTGCTACATCCCTTAGAACATTCTCCATGTTTTAAAGAAAAACTGCAGGTACTTGTCACTTCCCATTCCACAAAAAGGGCACTTGTCCTGATGCAGTTCAAATTAGGGTTGTCAGCAAAGACCTATTTTACACTTCTTCAACCAACTTCTAACAACCAAATTTTAAAATAAATAAATAAATAGCTAGTAAATTCCATTTATAACAAAATATATTTAGAGCTCCCCCAGTAATGATCAAATAATTTAAATATCCTCTTTTTTGGCTACACTGATGAGCCAGAGGTACACTCTGCTTTTTAAAATAAACTTTATTAGGAATTATTTACGCAGTCAAATATTAACCTGTATCGTTTAGCCATACCTTTCCTACCACATGAATGAATTCACCAATCACAGTCAGTCCATCTTGTGGCCTAGAAGTGGATGGAATGGACAGTGCATTGCACAGTGCTAACATTTTCAAAAGAACGCTTGTGCCTCTGATGAAAAGGTCACATACCTGCTAACATCTACTCTAGTGGAGAAACTGTCATGTGCTCCTAGAGATACAGTCAACCTCTTCACTAAGATTGCTTCTTAATTGCTTCCCATCTGCCTATAATGTCAAATCACTGCTTGGACTGGGGTCCTCCTTCATTCCATCATCGTGAATAACACACAACACAGCATATGGCCCTGTATAGTGAGGAATTTCTCTGTATTGATTCAGCCAGGAGTTCTGCAGAGAGTTTTTGCTCTCAAAGTAACTACTCATTTAGTCTGTCAATCTAAAGTCATTGCCTACTGCTACAGAATGTGAATGCCACCGAGGAATTAAAAAAAAAATCTTACAGTAATATTTCTTTTCCTCTTTGGTTGAATGGAATGCTTAACTTAAATTTAGCGATGTTCTGGGTGTGTGTGAGTTCATTTATGAGGACAGTCCCCAGAGGAGAGTTAAACTGCAGAGATGAGTTTTGAATTTAGTTGTGCAATCTGTGAGGTCATTGTTTATTCTTATTTATTGGGAGTCTCCTTCTCTAGAGGTATTCAGAACTTGCCTGAATGCTTTCCTGTGTAATTTACTCTTGGGAACCTTCTTTATCAGGGTGGTTTGACTCAATGATCTCCAGGGGTTTCTTCTAACCCCTTCAATTCTGTGATTCTGTGATAGTACAGGTTCCACCCCCCTGAAAATCCTTACTCCATAATTAATTTTAAGTAATTTCCACTGGTCAAACACTTTTTTGTGTGTATGCTTGAAATCCTTCTGTTAATAAAAAATCATATTCATTTTGAAAGCATAGATTTCTAGACTGATAGAACCCACGTTTTTTTTATGAGTCCCACTGAAATAAGACTGTTCTTATGTACCTGCACTGAGTATAGCACTAGGCTCACTGTCCTTGTCTTCAGTAAAGTGAGAATAAATTAAGCCAATAAGAGTGCAGATGTGTTTTTTTTTAATAGTTTTATTCAATTTGCCATAAAGCCCCTGCCTATTATTAGAAAATAGGAGAGAAATCACCCTTTGAGAGGCAGTGTGCAGGGAATACATTAGTTTCCCAACCTAACTGCACAGATGAGCCTCTCTCATTCAAATGAGAAGTCAGTTTAAGTGACCTCAAAGTGTTAATATGTGGCTGGGTAATGGGAGAAGGCCCTAGCTTGGGAGGAGGGTGTCAGAAATGAAAACAGCAGATGACTGCTGTCCTGGGCAACCTTGACATAAGGCAAGAGACTCCTCTTTGAATCTCTAGCTGTACTTTTGAGGGAAATGGTTTCAGGAGAGTGTGCTGTTAGTGAAAACAATTTTTATTGTCTGTAAAATTTCAGCAGCTGAAATAATACTTAAAATTTTTAATTAACTGAGAAAATCTTCCAGTTGTCAGCCCTTGTATGTACTGCAGTACCACAAGGACAGCCAAGATGCTTTGAAACTGATAAGGCTGGCTTCAATTTGCTGTTCTTTAGTCACTGAAGTGGTCTGAGGACAACAGAATCAATTATAGTGTATGTCAAGTGTTCAGTTGTTGCTTTGATGCACAGAAGATATTTGTGTCAATGCAAAGTGATTAAGTTTAGCAAACTTTAAAAATAAATGTGGAAAAGTCACTATCCTATTGTCCATTTCCTTCTACATAAGTGTAAACCTCCTAAGAAAGAATTTCTTAGGAGAAATGTGTAACACTTACATTATTAGTCTTCATGGTTCATCTGGTGGTCCGAATGTGATGTTCCTGATTAGAATATTTCAAATGTTATGAAGTGTAACAGCAAGGAATTTTTTTATTATTCCTGTTGTCAGATAAAAATTATTTTCATTTCTACCTGCTTTTATTTCAAGTAGAATAGTTCAGAAACTGAAGAGCCCAGGGATAGGAAACTTCATAGAACAGTGTACTGAGAAGAGACCCCAGGATGGCATGTAGTTGTCATGCTAACTTGAGTGCTTCATGCTGCTACAGGCAGAAGACTGGATCAGTGAGCGCATGCAGAAGCTAGAGGATCCTTCCATACAAGATCCCCGCAATCTGCAGGACAAAATGAAACTGCTGCAGAAGCATCAGGTCTTTGAGGCAGAGATTCTAGCAAATGAAGAAATCATCACAGCTGTTAATAAGGTAACGCTAACACTCTGCTAGTGTTTTTACAGATCACTGCAGGTTATCTAAAATTGAATGAGAAAGATGGATAGCTTCCTCACCATCTCTTTACCATTTTTTTCTACTCATATAACAAGAACCCAGTTACTATGCCATGGAAATGGAATCCCATTAATTTAAAACAGAGAGATTTCTCAATTTATCTCTCCAGGAGACTTCCATCTTTCCTTATTGTCCAAAGAGAAAGATATCACCAGCTTCACTCTTTGAATCACCCTTGTGGAAGTGATTACTTCCGCAAAAAGTAAATAGGATTTCATGCTCAGTTGCCGAACAAACTCATTGAACATAAGCAAATCATATAGTTGAAGGGTATAATCATCTGTAATGTCTCTCTTATGCTCTCACTCTATGAATTTCAGCCTTGGCAGTTGAATGTTCAAATCTGGTGTGTTTGATTAGCTTCCAGATGTAAGAATATTACAACTGAGCTGTATTACTTGGGAGCTGAGAAATCAGTAAGTCATTGTGCAGTGCCAGTTAGGGAAGTAGCAGTTCTTCTGGAAAACTCTTGTAACATAGTAATGACATTAGAAGTCAGTAGTAACCTTCATATCTAATTCCCTCTCCTGGATGTAAAGAAAGGAGAAGCCCTGATTTCAATGGGCCACCCAAAATCAGGGGAGATCCGCCGTCAGGTCCGCATGCTTCAGGAGCATTGGGAGAAGCTGAAGAGAGCTGTTGCTGCCCGTGGAAAGATGCTGGAGGATAGTCGGGATTTCCTGGAATTTCTCCAGAAAGTTGACCAGGTGGAAGCCTGGATCAGAGAAAAGGTAAATTAATTCTAATATTTAAACCAAGCAGCACACTAGAGACTTGCTGTATCACAACAAATGTGTGATACGTGTCAACCTCCAGGCTATTTTCTTAGGGCCTTCTTCATGAGAGAATCATGATGTGCTCTACAAACAACATGGAAGGAATAATTCAACAGATTCTAAAACTTTTCTAGAGAGTTTCTGTGCCAAATTTGGTTGAACAGCACTAACACATCACATGTGAAGTGTGCACATAAAGAAGCTGTGATTATTATTCTCGTGTGTCTCTGTCAAAACAGACCTAAAAGTACACTAAAATAGAAGGGACTTCAAGCATGTGGCAACTGGCATTCAGTTTCATTGTCTGTCAAATCTGCAAGTTTCTCTTTGAAGGAAGAGTCATTAATCCACTAAGTTTTCATTTGGAGGCTGTTTCATAATCAGTAATAGATTGGAAAAGGAATTGGGGTTAAGTCTCATCATTAGCTAAAGATCAGAAGTGACTACTTCAGAAGTTGTCGGTCAGTGATTCACAGAGAAAATCACAGAACTTTTTGCAGCACCATAAGCACTGGAATGTGTTATATTCTTGTACTCTTCACCTGAGTGTTTGCCTATCCGCTGCTTCTTTCCTCAGGAAGTCATGATTAACATAGGTGATGTGGGAAATGACTATGAACACTGTCTGCAGCTCATGAAAAAGCTGAATGAGTTCCGTGGAGCAACATCAGGGGTAAGAGATGTTTTCCTTTCCTGTTTCCACGTAGCTTGTGCTAGAAGCACAATTAACTTTTTAGCTTATTCAGATAGTAAACACAATTCCTTTATTCTGAGAAGATGAAAGATCAGGGAAGTAGGAAGCATTATCACCTCCTCAGCTATTGAAATGATCTTCAGCTCCCTCTGGGAAAGCTGTGAGACTATCTATCAAGACAATATATTTGTAGTAGCCTCTCTTTCTGTCTTTATGAACTACACAGATGTGGACAAACAGATCTCCATGTCACACAAGAAAGATCTCTGTGCATACTTGCTAGTCTGGACTATTAGGCCTATTAGAACTTCAGGATTGAGGTTTACTTCTATGTGCACTCATAATATTCTCATTATGCTGTTTACCTTTTATACTATTTGCCAGTTACTGTATTGCCAGCTCCCATCTTCTCTTTCTGTTACCTATTAGCAGAAGAAAACAATCTTCTTTTATGCAAAATAAAAGCATAGATGTACATGACACCTGGGGGAAAACTCTGAGCTCCCATTTCCAGAACCCAGCAAGATTTTCTGCAACAGTACATTAGATCTGGTCAGAAAGCCAAAACACTTGAATTTTAGCACCATGGAATCAGGGAAGTGAAGTGACCTTCATTCACCCTTCAGTCCACACCAGCTAAACTGTGAACTAAGAGTTCTGCTATGAATTGTACCAGCAAAAAAGAAGGATAGAGACAGGAACTGTATAAGACTGAAAAAAGAAGTATTTAGACTGACCAAGGTAGATCTTATATGCCCTTGGTCTTCAATACTGCCTGCTTCTCTAGGCACTGCTTCTTTACCACTTTAAACGTGACTCCTAGAGGAGACTACGGAGACTGATACCTTCATAGCTGGTGCTTGAATATACAGTGCTTTATAGGATGATCCAAACAGAAGCAGGCTGGTCTTGGCACAGTGTGTGCATCCATTTAGTCTAGATTTCCCCACTAGACAAATCTGAGAGTAGAGTGGGGATCAACTATCCCACATTGATGGTTGCCAAGTTTTCTACTCAGACTGTTATATTGTGTTGCTAGCTCCCAGGAGAGGAGACTGAGGTTTCTGAAAAAGCAATATGTGGCTGTCTACTGGTTTATCTTGTTTACTTTATGGCTGTTCGTAATACTGAAGTACATATGGAAATAGACATCTTGGTATGAATGAACCATAAATAAAATTCAGATTGAATAAATACTTCTATTAAAAAATTGCTGGCATCTGGCAACTGTGCTTCTACTACTCCAGTGATTAATGTCTCCTCTTTAAGCCTATGATTTACTGGTCTTGCAAAAATATAGAATGTTTTTTGAATCCTGTAGCAGTATTCTGTATTGACTATCCATCATGCTTCAAGAGAATTATCCATTATAGTCCAGAAGATATATTTGCAATGTGCAACTATTATCCTTCCTGTAGTATATATGTTACACAGGAAGAAAATTGAAAGGATTAGCATACCTTTCATTATGCAATGATGTTTCTTCTAAGGGAAAAGCAACGACACATCTTACTATCCAATTTATGAATTGTCTCGGTTTCTTTAGACTGTATAGATTTTAAGGCTGTTGTCCATGATATGGAACGAACTTCTGGACAGATGCCAATGTAAAGTTAAGAGCCACAAGTCTTTTATCTGTTTGATGGAGGAACAGTCTGCCACATCACATCTGTTTCACAGCAGTCACCTATGTAACCAGCAGCTGCAGTTGTATTTCCTCAGCATATGCGCCCCTGCTGGAATGCCTGGCTTAGAAGAGAAGCTCTAAGAGTCTTTATGTAGTCCTAAATCACTGTTAAATCTGTGTATCATCATTACACAGTGTATCATCATTAATGACCTTTCTTGCTCAAACTGTCAGCTCATCTGGGACTGACAATAAGTGTGATAATAAAGCTGATTGAAATTTCTGGTAGTGAAATATAAATCTTGCTTGTCGCTGCTATTGTTGTTTTGCATGTGTCAGACTTGGTCACAAGCATTTTGAACATATACCTGAGCTCCTTTGTTCACTTTACAGGAGACAACAGTGGATGATGCTCACATCAAGGCTATCAATGCCCTGGCCATGAAACTGGAGAGACAAAACAAGGAAGAGACAAAGACAATATATCAGCGCCGGAAGCAGCTCAATGAGAAGTGAGTATGCTTTTAAATCTTTTACGTAAAATAAAAACAGAAAGGTACGATGAGGAATTTTAGGTGGGCTGGGCTAAGTGGAGTAATGTATGTTTTCTTTAATATCATGACTAGCAGACTTCATGCACTAGAGCTGCCTTTCAAGATTTCAGAGTAGTTAGCCAAGAGGACTTCTTGTCCTGCAGGGCTGAAGTTGTGTCTGTCCTTGGAGGCAAACAGGCTTTTTCACTGCATTTTACAGACCATGTTCATGAAGCTAAGACACTTCTATCTGTTCAAAAAGTTGCCCTGGTGAAGTGCATATTCTTTCTGCTACTTCACAGTCCACTAGCTAAGGTAATTTAAGGAAACTTGTAGCTTTTACTTTCTATGCCATCCTGAAAAACTTGGAACGAATATAGCCAGGTAGTTTCATCAGGCTGATGTTTCATGCTGCATCTGGTTGGGGATCAGTACACAATGTAGCTCAGAAATCTAGACTTTCTTCCTTAGAACTGAGATTATGAAACTCAGCTGTGGAAGTTTTCACCTCTGAAATACACTCCTAAAATATTATTTTCCAATAAAAGGTGGAACAGTTTCCATGGTAACCTGAATGCATACAGGAGGAAATTAGAAGGAGCCCTGGAGATTCATGCCTTGATAAGAGAAATTGATGACATCACAGAGAGAATTACTGAGAAGGTGAGTTCCCAGATTTGGATTAATTGACATGGGAAAATGTTCTGCTTTCTGAGTGATAAACTCAGGTATCTGTATTACTGAAGATATACTGACTATCTAGCAGGAGCCCTTGACAGTTGTCTATGTATCAAGTCTGCAGGAAGATGTTAAACACATTGCAGATTACCAGTCCTTAAGTCACTCAAGGCTAAAAAGGTAAATTTCAAAGTAAATTTTGAATTCCAGAAGTTAGATGAACTACCATAGAACTTGACCTGAATTATCATAGAATCACAGAATCACAAGGTTGGAAACAGTCTATAAGATCATCTAGTCCAACCGTCCTCTCATTACCATTGCTACCACAAGCTATTAAACCATACCTTGCAGCTCCTCATCCAGGCGCCTCTTGAACACTGCCAGGGACGGCGATTCCACCACCTCCCTGGGCAGCCATTCCAGTGCCTGACCACTCTCTGAGAGAAAAAGTTTTTCCTCATGTCTAACCTAAACCTCCTCTGGTACAACTTGCGTCCATTTCCCTGGGTCCTGTTTGTTGCCTGGGAGAAGAGGCCAAACCCCTCTTCACCACAACCTCCCTTCAGGAAGTTGTAGAGTGCAATGAGGTCTCCTCTTCTCCAGACTAAACAATCCCAGCTCCTTCAGTCGCTCCTCATAAGACTTGTGCTCCAGACCCCTCACCAGTTTCGTTGCCCTTCTCTGGACTCGTTCCAGGGCCTCAATGTCTTTCTTGTAGTGAGGGGCCCAAAACTGAACACAGTACTCGAGGTGCGGCCTCACCAGAGCTGAGTACAGGGGGATGATCACCTCCCTGCTGCTGCTGGCCACGCTATTTCTAATCCAGGCCAGGATGCCGTTGGCCCTCTTGGCCACCTGGGCACACTGTCGGCTCATGTTCAGTCTAGCATCAATCAACACCCCCAGGTCCCTTTCCTTTTCACAGTCATCCGGCCACTCGTCCCCAAGCCTATAGCGCTGCATGGGGCTGTTGTGGCCAAAGTGCAGACCTGGCACTTGGCCTTAATTAAATATCCACTTAGTTTGAATGTAGAAACTTCCAGTGTTCCAAATTCAAAGCTAGTTTGTTTAGGACTAACTTTCTTATCTTTCCCTGCTGTGCAATGTAGACAAATATGCAACTTTTATAAGTTCTATAAAAATCTCATTTATTTTTTTCTTCATGTGGAAGTACAAATGCCTATTCTGGTTTATAATTTTGAGATTAATAGAAGAAGACTTATATAAGAACTAATGACTTCATGGATATAACAAATACTGCTTATTGAACTGTAAGCCAGTAGTCAAATACATGGCGGGACTACTTCAGGTTACAAGACCACTGGTTTGAAATTTTTGTAACAACTTTTGTGAATGTATTTCTTTATTGTCTGTTATTTCACTTGTGATAGAGTTCTGAAGATTAACTTTTTCTCCATATTTTTGTGAAATACAGCTTTTGCAAGCTTCTGCAGCACAACTGAATGGGAAATATTTGGCTATTCTGGGCTATGTGGCAAAAAAAAAAAAAAAAAAAAAAAAAGAAAAGAAAGAAAGAAAAAGGAGAGAGAGAGAGAGAGAGAAAATAAAGGTTGAGAAGTGTAGGGAAGCATTCCTGCCTTTCTGTTTAACATGTGAATGCCCAGATCTTATGTAGATCTGTGAATATTCAAAGTTCTTGTTCCATTTCTGTTGAGAGTGCAGACATAAAGAGTTCTATAGATACTTAAAAAGAAAATAAAAGCATTCCAATGGCAATAAAAAGAAGGCAATAAGGAAACGATTTGATAGAAGTAAAATATTACCCTTCTTCTTTGTGTCATCACCATTTACACTTCCTCCAGAGTGTCCTGATACAAGCACTGGATTATGGGAAAGATGTCGAAAGTGTGGAAAACCTTATTCGAAGACATGAAGAGATGGAGAGAGAAATCAATGTTATTAAGTCCAAAATAGAGGTAAGAAGTGAAAAAGTACAAAGGATACTATAAAAATTCTTACTTTTTGGAAATTTGATGCAAGCTCTGACATGTCTCTTCAGATCCATGAGTTGTACTGCAGCGCAGTTCAGAAATAAAACACAAAATCACAGTTCACATAGTTTTCTGATATAGCTGTCAAACCCCAGAATCTTAGGTCATAATTCCCTGATGAGTTCTTGCTGTTGTAAATTGCCCAGTTTGCATGGCTTAGGACTAATCTGAGCATTAATTACAGTTTTGAGTTCCTATATAACTACATAATAAAAATATGTATATATATTTTCTGATGAGCAGCAGTAGAAGAAATCCCATACCAATGCCTCACCATTTGCACTGTTGGCTGAAATAGTTTCATACAGAACATATTTTTGCAAACTTCCTCTAAATCTTTCCTTCACAATAGTATGCAAATTGTGACAATATATGTGATACCTTAACAGGCTGTGACTTTCTCAGTAATTCATATCTGAAATGTGGGTGTTTACTAGTAAGCAGTTACAGATAATGCAAGCAAGGCTGTTGTAGGGGAATACTGCATGGAAACTCAGAAAGATGAGCAAGGTTTTTAATGCTGCCACAAATACTGTGTACACAGCATAGTATCTGTACTTTTCTTGCGGATTAAAACCAGTCTGGCATGTTCTCCTTTCTGCCTAACTAAAGTTCTTCATTTTTATCAAGTTGATGTAGCTGTAGAAAAAAGATAACAAATGTAAATCTGGGTTGGTGAGTATTTGTGACTGTTCAGGCTGTTAATGAAAACAGTATCAACCAAAAGCCCACACTGGAAGTAGTGTTTTGATGCTGCTATTTGTTGAACAATATACAAAGGGCTTTTGAGTCCTCTGCTAAATGGCAAATCCGGTTGCTTCTGTTAACTGTCCATGGCTCCATGGCTCCTGCTACCTATCACAGTCAGATTAGGATAATAGAGGTTATGACTACCCCTTCATATTCTTCTCAAAATTGCTTTCTTAATTGTAAATTAGCATTTGTGTGTGTGAAACAAAACAAATGTATCTTTCTCCACTTAGATGACTGCTCAGAAATCATATGTATTTTTTGTGCATATAATAACATATATATTTTAATATTATAATCTAGGTGTCCACTTTTGAAAACTAGAATCTTAAAATGAACTAGTTCTGAAAGGCAAATTCAGGAATGAACATAAGCTTTTTTTTGGCATAAATTCACCCCATATAAATCTCTTTCAAGCCATTGGAATTGGAATCTTTCCGCCTTTCCACAAGGAATCCATCCATAAATGACAAGCTGACTATGAAGCAACAGGAGATGAAAAACAACTGGCTACGACTCCAGGGACAGGCCAAACAAAGGTAAAGGCTTCTTGTGGTCTGACTATCTCTCATCCAGAGCAAAGCTATTCCCTGGGGTAGCAGATCGCCTACTTGTCAGGGGATTTCCAAAAGTTTTTGAGGGTCCATTCAAAGCTTATACAGGTAGCTAGGATATCTCCATTTGGAACAAGAGTGACTTAGTGCAACAAAAGTTCCACAGATATGACTTCAGGAAAGTTAGTCCAATGACTTCCTAGCTTAAAATGACTTCCTTACTAAAATGTCTCAAGACTAACAGATAACATTTGTCACGAACATTTTGTGAAATACTTTTTTTTTCATGTTTCTCAAATATTTCTTTTCTTAAATATTTTCAAAACAAGAAAGACTTAGGCCTGAGCAGGAATTGTTTCTAGAAACAACAACTGTAAGGATCTTTACCTTTCATATTCTAATGAACTGTCATAAAAAAGAAGGCAAGCCTGTAGTCTCCAAGGCAGTGTGCATCTGTGTAATTTCGGTTTAATGTGAAAATGGTTAGGATCAGCAAGGGAAAGCAAGGAGGCTTGAATCCACTTCAGTTGCCTTCTCATAGGATACCTTCCTCTGCAAATGGGAAGGGAATGGGAACTAGACAACTCTGTGTTGGATAATGCTAAACTATACATTTTGTTGCAGGAAGGAGAAGCTGGCAGCCTCATATCAGTTGCAGAAGTTTAACTTTGAGATGAAGGAAATTATAGATTGGATTCAAAACATCAGAAGCTTAATGGAAGCAGGGGGGCTTCCTAAAAGCCTAAATGAAGCAGAAAGCATGATTGAGGAGCATCAGCAGAGAAAGGCAAGTATCATTATTGTTTCCAATTGAATATACTCATCTAGAGGGTAGCAACTCTGCCCATGGCAATACAGTTGAAACTTGATGAACTTTCAGGTTCGTTCCAACCCAAGCCATTCTATGGTATTCTCAATCAGTCCTATGGGAATAAAATGCTGCAGACACAGCAGAATTTCTGCTGCATGAATTGACAGTAACATGGTGAGAGTCTGATTCCAGTAACAGGCTAGTGACAGAGATCACCTAAGAACTAACAGAACTCTATCCCACAGGCTATTTAGGAGCTCATTTCCCAGGAAGCCAAATTACCGCTCACATCTTCTGCTATCCAACTCTGCAGGTGAAAAGCTGATTCAGTCTCAAAACATGCTCAGCTCTGATCTCTTACTCAGATTGCCAAGAAGTTAATGTCAGTCTAGCTTTGAGCTAGATTTTGTGATGCAAATTCCATTTTCCTGAGAAGAAAATAAAATCAGCAGTTTGTCTCATACAGAGCAGTAAATTACCATTGTATTGTACTGGAACACTTCATACATATCTCAGTACAAATCACAGAATCACAGAATGGCCAGGGTTGGAAGGGACCTCAAGGATCATGAATCTCCAACCCCCTTGCCACATGCAGGGCCACCAACCTCCCCATTTAATACTATACCAGGCTGCCCAGGGCCCCATCCAATCTGGCCTTGAACACCTCTAGGGATGGGGCATCCACAACCTCTCTGGGCAGCCTGTTCCAGCACCTCACCAGTCTCATAGTAAAGAACTTAAAATTACCACATAATCTTTTGATGGCTGATTTGGTTTGTATTTTTGATGGTTTTCTAAAAGGAGTGCTATTATTAACCTTAAAAAGAAACATCGATATTTTAATTTTTCCCACATGTAGTAGCTATCTTTCAGTTCCTGTATTACCTCTTCTTTGTAGTTATATTTCCTTTTCTAAAAAAGCATATTCTCAGAATCATGGCTAATATTAACAATGAAAATCCTGTGCTTTGCACTTCCCATTACTAGCATGAATAATTTTAGATTCTAATTCATTTCCAGACCTGAATTTAGTGTCAAATACCTGATGCCCCCTCTTCTTTTAGTCTTCTGTCTGTTAACAGTCCTCTCTCAAGTCAAATATTTAGCTTTCTTTTTTTTTTCTTTTTTTTTTCTTTTTTTTGCCATTAATAATGGAAACAGTAGAAAACAATATAAAAAGCTCAACACGCTGTTATGTTGTATTTTGAATTTAGATAGTAACAAGATCTAGATCTAGATCTTGATCGTGCTAGTAAAGGAACCCAAGAATTCTAATGAGATGATCACAGAAAAGGTGAAATTCAGGGAATGCTTCCTTTTGCAGCAGGTTGACTAAACAAAATTGTAAGTCACAATAGAAAATGGATTTTTCTTTCTTTTTTTTTTTTTTAATCAAGTTAGTGGCTCAAACTATAGTCCTTAGGGGAGACTATATAGTTGACTGCAAAGCAGTAATCTGAATAAAAAAATAGAATTGTATCTTACAGCTGTTTTGTCAAACTCTAGGCACCATCATCCTTCTTAAAAAAAAATCTCTAAGAGCAGCTGTAATTTCAGACACTTAGTAGTCCATGACATCATTTTTAAAGTGGTTTGCAAGTTATTGCACAGTATTATTTCAGTATATGGTTATTTTTATTTTCAAATGGTTTATATTAGGAATTCCACACTCAATTTGCAGAGCTCACTCTAGCTTTTAATCTGATAACCTTGAGGATTCAGTATAAAGGCATAATTCATTCCTCAGACCAGGATGAAAAGTTAAATATTTCATCTTAACACCATGGAATAAAGTAGAACAGTGTTTTTAATGTAATAATCTCATGCCAACTTACTTGGCAGGAGAGCAAAAACATCTAGGTGCTGTTTGTCTCACAAGAACCACCTTCATATAGGAAAACTCAGTGGGGGATACAGTAGTATGGGTGTTCAAAACTATGTTCATTTATATCTGAGCATTTTCCAATCTGTTTCTAATTGAATTCCAATTTGATTTGCAGGAGACCAGTTATTCCTAGAGCAATAAAGTCATATATTTTCCTCGTTTATTTTCTCTTAGGCAATTCTGTGCTTTTTCAGTAACATAGCTCAAAGACGAATGATTTTCCACACAAATATTAGTGTTGGAAAGTTACAGTCTATATTCTCCCCCTTAAGGCCTGTATTCTGAATAGTTGGCATACCATAAACCCTTGACATCAACTTTAGTAATATATTTTAGGAGGAGATTGAAGCACGAGTGGAAAGATTCAACTCTCTCAGTAACTATGGTCAACAACTTGCCAATTCTGGTCACTATGCAACCCCTGAGATTCATCAGTCTCTCTCCAGACTACAGAAAGCCTGGTCTGAATTGATCCAAGCATGGCAGGAGCAATATATAAAATTGTTTCAAGCACAAGATTTACAGGTAAGTAAAAAGACATTCAAAATGAAATACACACACAGCTTTTCTCAGTATAAACAGTGTATTTATAACAGGGGTTACCGTTAGTTGAGGATGATGTAATAACATCCAGTGTTTAACACTGGTTTTTGGAAGACGACTGAGGGCAGAACACATTCAATAATAGCAGGGCTTTTACTGTATCTTTAAATTCTGTCTTTCCAAATTAAATACATTTTTCTTAAATGTACGACCATCTGCTTTTCAGAGGCCATGAAACTTGACAAAATTCAAATATTCATATAATTGGCAAAAGGAATATACTTGAAATAGAAAGTCCTACTAAATTCTAAAGTCTCTCCCCCAAGAAAAACAGTATGGACAGAGGCATATTTTTAAACAATTGGAAAAAGAAAACGGAAGAAAAATTTAGCATGGACAAAATCTAGTTTTCTCCCTCTGGCATTTTTTTCCTAATGTAAGAACTGTTTTGGCTGCAGTTTTCCAGAAACATAGCCTTGTAACCATCATCTCACTTTACAAAATTTCTGCTCAAAGTCAGAAATAGCTGAAAGAGAGATTTTACAATGTGGAATGTCAAGCGCCTTAAATAACAGCTTGTCCTACTAGACCCATCTAAAAAGCTTCACATATATAAGAACTTAAACCATATGGTAAGGACTGCTTTCACTTCTGCTTCTTATGGATTACATTATACTTATTTCAGGCCAGTTGCTTTACATAACACCCTCTATACATCATTAGGAAACACACTGCAAGTACTTGTATTGTATTCAGTGTCTTAGACAAAAAGAAACAGTCATCTTATTAAAGAGAAAGCTACAACAATAATTGTTACATGCATGGTTTTGGCAGCATTCAATGCTTATTGCCATCCAATGCTCTTGTGGTTAAATTTTGCAAAAGCCCAAGCAATTTAGGTATTTTCAGCATATTCTGCCGAAGTCAGGTGTATCTATTTTACATCATGTTTATGATTATTTCTTCTCCCTGTGCAGAAATTCTATGGCTATGTGGAACAAACTGAGAGCTGGCTCAGCAGCAAAGAGGCTTTCCTAGCCAATGAAGATTTAGGGGTAGGTGCTCCAAGAAATGATAATTTTATCAGCTATTGGTTTGGAGGACAGGGAGATGTGAAGTATGATGATATGCTCCTTCTTTCTTTCTCCATCTTTCTCCTTTCAAAGTTACTGCTTTGCCTAATTGATGACTTAGGGTCATGTTTCCTTCCTCAGTACTTTAAATGAGATGGGTTTCTCAGCCACTAGAGCAATGAAAGTCCAACTGCTCTTATTTTATTATAGCAGGAAAAAAAGACTATATTTCTCTACCTGGTCTTACCTGACTCAAACAAATTTACTAGCAATGTACAAGTTGTCACTGTGGTCATTTCTGATATAAACAGTGTAGTTCTACTTTAGCTACTTCAGGTATCAGTAACACTGCAATAACTGAAACTACAGACTAATGCATGGGTTACAAAAGTCATGCAGGATGCTGGATATAAACTCTGATGCTTAGTTTACCTTTGGTACCTTGCATTAAATTAGCTGTCTCTGCAAGAACAGCAATTACATCTCAGAGTTCAGTGTAGACATAATTGGTACAAATCATATGAAAGACATCTAATGCTAGTGGCTCGTGTCTGCTGTGTAATTTTAATTCTGGAGATATGTACTTACAGTCCCTCCACTGAAGTATAAAAGACTTAGAAGGATCTATTTTCCAGCCGTATTTAGCTCAGCAATGCACAGAGAACACCATGTGAGTACGTGCTTTTCCAGTGACTCATGTAAACACCCGGTACTTTAGATGTTTTTCTGGCCCATTTGGTGTGAACTTTTGAGAAGACAAGTTTCTCCAGGAGCTTTATAAAGTCCTCCAGAAAAGTGAGAAAGCAGAGTTTATTAAAGTAACATTTTGATGCTGATGATTCTAAAATTATAAGTGCAGAGGGGTGCTGAAAAGAGAGTTCTAAGTCTTTATGCTTTGGACTCATAAATGCTACATGAAGTCAGGTTCTATGTTTCTCCCCAGATTAACTGTAAGGGCAGGCTCCAGTCCTCAGATTCAAATCTGGATCAGAACACTTCCAAAACCCATGGATTGAAACTGAGGCTCTAATTTCAATTTCTTTCGGTGGCATATTTGTTCATTTAACTCTGATCTCTCAGCATCCCATATTTGCTTCCAAAATAGGATCTGTCACAAGATTGATTTACGAGTACGAGGAGATCAGCTTTTTCTCCTGAGAAGTGTGAGATGCTCTTTGTAAATCAATAACCAGCAGAAGCAGCTAAGCATCCAGGAGTTTGTTCAGTTTTAATCCTGAACCAATGTTCTCAGGCCATGTAACAGTAATTTAAACAGTAATTTAACAGTAATTTAAACAGTAATTTAGACCCCAATTCTCAGATTCCATGCCAGTAAATTTCAAAGGCCAATAACTTTTCTTGACAGCTTGAAAATGTGGGGTAAATGCATTTAGCTTCTATATTATCACTGTGGTGGATGGAATGACTCTGATTGAAATCAGCTTCCCTTTGTTGAATTCCATCCAGGACTCAGTATCTAGTGTGGAGAGCCTGCAGCGGAAACACATGCAATTTGAAAAATCCCTGGAAGCTCAGATGGAGAAAATTGATGAGATGGCTTCATTTGCCCAGCAGCTAATTCAGAACAAACATTATGATTCGGACAACATCACCAACAGATGCCAGGCTGTTCTGAGGAGGTAAAATCAAAACTTCACTGTTTGCTACCCATCTCTCTTGCATTGAAACTCTGCCTCCGTAACTCTAACATCTTTAAATGTTTTAAGAGAACTGTAAACTCGTTTGCATTTACTTGACTTTGCACTGCTATCTGTGGTCTTGTACAGCTTGCTTGAGTCTAGTTAATCAGGAGGTTTTCAAAACTGCAATTAAGGGGAGAGGTGAAATTCAGAAAAAGGCAGCATTCCTGTAATTCTATACCCTGGATGGCCCTAGAGACAGTGTTACAAACAATGCACAGAGTTCTGCTGTGCCATTAAATAATACTGTCATTAAATGCCATTAAGAAAAGGCATTTGCTACACAGTTGCTTTTTCTCTGATCTAATGGATTGATCTTAAAGCTCTGCTCAAATTATCCATAAGGGAATTTTACAGTTCTTTCTAATATGAATTACATTATTTTTCCTAGCACGTTGTATATTGTCCATCTTAACAAACATTAGAAATGATTATATTCAGTGCTATGGTAGACGAAAAGATGTGTGTAAAATCTACTAAAGAAATCAGAAATTGCTTAAGATGAAAGTGAATGTCCAAATTTATTAATACAATCAAAATATTTCATGCCTGAATCAACATGAATAAAGTGATGCTTGGCCATATTTGGAAGAAAGATGAAAGGACGATGTAGTTTTGGCCTGTTACATGTTATTAGTGACAGATATCATAGAATCATAGAATCACTAAGGTTGGAAAAGACCCACAGGATCATCCAGTCCAACCATTCATCCATCATCAATGGTTCTCACTAAACCATGTCCCTCAACACAACATCCAAACGTTCCTTGAACACCTCCAGGGTGGTGACTCCACCACCTCCCTGGGCAGCCCATTCCAGCACCTGACCACCCTTTCAGAGAAGTAGTATTTCCTAACGTCCAGCCTGAACCTTCCCTGGTGCAACTTGAAGCCATTCCCTCTAGTCCTGTCACTAGTCACAGGAGAGAAGAGGCTGACCCCCAGCTCACTACAACCTCCCTTCAGGTAGTTATAGAGAGCAATAAGGTCTCCCCTGAGCCTCCTCTTCTCCAGACTGAACAATCCCAGTCATTCCTCATAAGACTTGTGCTCCAGACCCCTCACCAGCTTAGTTGCCCTTCTCTGAACACACTCCAGGGCCTCAATGTCTTTCTTACAGCGAGGGGCCCAAAACTGAACACAGTACTCAAGGTGCGGCCTCACCAGTTCTGAGTACACGGGGACAATTACTTCCCTGTTCCTGCTGGTCACACTATTTCTGATACAAGCCAGGATGCCATTGGCCTTCTTGGCCACCTGGGCACACTGCTGGCTCATGTTCAGTCTAGCATCAATCAACACCCCCAGCTCCATTTCCTCTACACAGTCTTCCAGCCACTCTGCCCCAAGCCTGTAGCATCGCCTGGGGTTTACTGTGGCCAAAGTGCAGGACCTGGCATTTGGTCTTGTTGAATCTCATTCCATTGGCTTCAGCCCAGCTATCCAGCCTATCCAGATCCCTCTGTAGGGCCTTGCTACCTTCAGGCAGATTGACACTTCCAGCCAGGCTGGTGTCATCTGCAAACTTACTGAGGCTGCAGTCAATGCCCTCATCCAGGTCATCAATAAAGATATTAAACAGGACAGGCCCCAGTACCGACCCCTGGGGAACTCCACTCGTAACCGGTCGCCAGCTGGATTTAACTCCATTCACCACCACTCTCTGGGCCCGGCCCTCCAGCCAGTTCCTTACCCAGCCAAGAGTGTACCTGTCCAAGCCATGGACTGCCAGCTTCTGCAGGAGAATACTGTGGGAGACAGTGTCGAAGGCTTTCCTGAAGTCTAGGTAGACTACATGAACAGCCTTTCATTCATCCACCAGACGGGTCACTAGGTCATAGAAGATCAGGTTATCATATCATTATACCCGCAGGCTTTCCATAATGTTCAGTTGTCCTCAGAAACTCGCTAATGGCGATTCCTAGATGCAGGCATCATACATACAGAATCTGTGCATGTTTTAAACATATCTGCTAGTAGTTCTTCCCACAGTATCCTAAATGTCTTCTCTGACAATCAGAATAATGGAAGGCTGCATATTATGGACAGTTTTCTCCTAGAGATCAAGGGTTAGATCATATGTTTTTTAGACATGAAAACTAAGAACTCTTTACATATCTAATTCACTCTGTGTTTTATTCCTCTGCATCTCTCTTTCTTTCAGAAAGGAGAAATTACTAGAAAATGCTGCTGCTCGCAGACATCTACTAGAGGAATCAAGGCTTCTGCAGAAGTTGTTGAAGAATTCCTATGAGGTACAATTACATAGCATTCACTGCATTCTTGTTCTTAAAACATGCTGTGCTGCATAGGTCTGGAACACTGAAAGGGATTTAATGAGAGAAAAGCTGAGTCTATAATGAGATAATATTGGAAAATATGAGGATAAGTGTTAATGGGTATTTTTCAGTTTTCAAGTAACAAATTCCCTTCATTTGGGCCATGAAAATCAGTAAGAAATAGGTGCATTAAAAGGAAATGTGCCACCAAATCATAATTCATGGGAAGAGACAAAGTTGTCGTCGTCTTGTGAGATATAGTAAGGTTAGAAATAGGGAGGTAACTGCCCTTTCTTCCACATGCAGACATGTACACATGCACACACTTTCTTAATGCAGAAGAACTATTCCATGGAGGCAGACATCTTTCCAGATGACAGTGCTGGTAGCGAGGTGTGGGGGTGACCTTAAGGCACGAGGAGCTTAGGGAAGCAGAATCTCAAAAGGACAGCTTGTTTATGTCCCCTCTTATTAGTCCAGTGTTTTATACATACAAGAGAACAGCCTGGCAGATTGCAGCTGAAGAAACACTGAAGTTCTTGTCTGCTTCTGTTCTTTCCTCCCCAAAGGTGGCTGCCTGGATCAATGAGAAGAACAGTATTGCTCAGGATGATAGCTGGAGGGATCCAAGCAATCTGCAGACCAAGCTGCAGAAACATCAAACTTTCCAAGCCGAGATCATGGCTAATAGAAATCGCCTGGACTCCATCAAATCTGTGAGAGAAGCTGGGTTGTTGGCAACACTGGGCAACTAGCATGAAAAACTATTAACAAACTGTCATACACAGACCTCAAACAAGCAAGGGGAAATCACTGTTCCCTGAGTGACATTGTTTATTCTCTCTGTGAGGGGGGTGGAAAGCTTACTCTTTTGGTGTAAGAACTTTCTGTGCCCACAGGGTTCTTTCAACTTGTCTGTTAGTGCTTAGTGTTAGCTTGTTATCTATATTCACTGTGATGCAGTGGAAGGAGATGTGCACTACCAGTGATTCATTCCACTGACTTCTGACACTTCTCTCTGGTGTGAATCACACTTTAGAGGTATATCTGCTTCTTTCAAAAATGGAGCCTAGGTAATTGAATGCATAACTTCAATAATTCAGATCAGTTTTATCCAACGAAAAGAACCAAGATGAATTTTCAAGTATTGCCATTACAGAGAAATGCTAGTAGGAGAGAGATGAGGGAAATCTGACAAGCTTTGTCAGATACTTGGCAGAAGTTGTGATCAGATGACTGGTTTGGAAGGACAGACTGTTACATGCTTATTAACCTTATTCTCAGCACAGTACTTACTAGCTGTATTTTGCAAGAGATAACTTGCATTAAAGCATTAAGGATAGAGTTCCTCCTCTGATTCACCTCCATCTAGTACTGTAGAGCTCAGTTTGTTTAGACACTACATGAACTACAACTCTCTCTATACCTGTCTCTCATTACTTCTTTCTGAGAATGATCTTGGGAATTGCTTTTTATAAGAAAATAGACATCTGCTGCCCTTGTGTATTGTCTCTCTTTCCGTGTCTCTTCTTCCTTATTGTAAAATACAAAGTAACTCGGCTTAGCTGTCTTAAGCAAACTTGGTTCTAACTTAAAGATATAAATACTGAATCTTCTATCTGATGGAGATCTTACTGTATCCACTCTACCTCTTCTTCTACCATCCTGTTAAACATCTACAGCTCAGGAATTAGAAATTCAGATATACTTTTATTGTATGATACACGGTTTAAAAAAAGGTTTTATTATCTCATGCAGTAGTTCACTTGTATGAGAAAAATAGTTCACTTTTTTAACATGCAAGGAAGGGAAAAGAGTGAAAGAGTGGGCTAGATGGCTGGGCTATCTCAAGCAATGATCATGGAATGCAGAAAAAACTTTGTGGTTGCAAAGTAGGCTCCCTACCCAGCTTTTGCATAATGAAAATTCTCTTTGCCCTTAAATGTCCTCTACTATTGTTCCAACATTTCAGATAATTTTAGAGGCCAGAAAGACAGGAAAATCTGTCCATCAGTTTGATCATTCTCTCTGCTGCAGGAAGGTGAGAAGATGCTCCGTGAGAGACACTATGCCCCAGAGGCCATTCAGTCCAGGTTACAAGAAATGGAAGAGCTATGGGAGGAACTGCTAGCAAGCTGCCAAGATAAACGGGCCAAGCTGCAGGATGCTTACAAGGTAATACCGGTGCACCAGTGGTTGGGTTTTTGTGTTATTTCCAGAAGCAGCATGAATGCCCTGCTGCAGTCTTGTATATGAATGTGCCATTTAAAACAATCAGACCTCAAGACCACCAGAGCAAAAAAACTGCAAAGTGTGGAGTGATTGAATGGAATTAGAGATCCCTAGTGAGAGGAAAGGACTTGTGGGCTGCATGCCTTTCTGCTTTCTACTGCTAAGTCAGGTCAGGATTCCAGAAGATACTGAGGGAAAATGTGTACTCTTCTAACTTCCAGTTCTCTGGACCTGTCTCACTGGCATCTTTTCGCCATCTTATGAGAAAGATGCCCACAACTGCTTTCCATTCTCCTAGCTCTTCTCAGGCATATCACTTCTCATGACTCTGAGTTTTGCACGAGCTACTCTGTGGGCATAAAATAAAGCTCTGCCTTTAAACGGCTGCCTTTTAAGGTACTGTGTCCATCATTGGTATCTGTGCAACATGACACAAATAAGATTAACTCCTTATGTTCTCTGCACTTGTTCTTGAATTCACTCTGACTGAGTCATTTTCTTCATTTGGACCACCATCAGATCTGGAAAGAAGTCACTGAGCCTTTGGAAGTTTCTCTGCATTTGTTTGCAATTTTTCTGGAAATTTCTGGGGCTGCCATTTTATATTGTAATTTATATCCTGAAGATTTAACTGACTTTTCTGTCCTGCTTGTCACCAGGCCCTTCATTTTCAGCGGAGTATAGAGGATACAGAAAAATGGTTGGAAGATGTGGAAAATGAGTTGAAGGCACCATATAGCAGCAATGATCTCATGGTTCTGAACAGTCATTTGAAGAAACAAGAGGAACTGGAGCAAGATATTGCTAGCCATAGGGACAGGTTGCAAGAGCTTGTGAACACAGCTCAGGAATTCCAGCAGGAAAAGCATTTCCTTGCTGATGAGCTAGAAGAGAGAGTTGATCAGCTGGTGCAAAGGTGAGTTAGTGCCTGGTCAGTCTCATGCAAAATTTTGCCTATTTTCTCAGCCTTTTTCTTCTCCGCATCTTTTTTATTTTTCATTGTCTACTTTATTCTGAATATAGCCTTTTGTGTTCATTCTGTACTGTTTTGCAGTTCTCATTGTGTTCCCTTTAAAATCTGCAGATACAAAAGTCTACGCGATCCTCTGCAGGAAAGACGTGGGAGTTTGGAGGCAAGCAGACTTCAATACCAGTTCTTCCGAGATGTTGATGAGGAGTTGGCCTGGGTTCATGAGAAACTTCCCATGGCATCCTCCAGGGATTACGGCCAATCCCTGGCAACTGTTCAGAGTCTGCAGGAAAAGCACCAGGTAATGTCATTCTCATTCTTCAGAATCAAAGAGAGAATATGCAATTCAGTTTGCCTCAAGAAAACTGCAGTGCATTGGCTAGCAGGATTCATGATGCCAGGCTTGTCTGATAATTGCATTTTTTTCAAAGGATATGTCTGTGGTTTAACATGTGGGATTTCACGCTTATCATTGCAATGCTCTAGGTATCACACGGTATGCTTTTGTGTGGACACACAGACTCTTTCTGCAAACTGAGTTCAAAACCTGGCTTTTACAAGATGAAATAGATTTTGCAACTGTTGTGCATGCTGTTTCTTTGGGCAAAAAAGAATGTCCTAATACACTATTAAACTTGTTAAGTACATCCAAGCAAGCTTACTGCTCAGATGTCTCAGGATGAGCTCCCAGAAAAACATCTTCCCCCAAAATTTTTCTGCTCTGGAGGGAGAGAGTTAACAAGCTTCTATGATCCTTAGCTGACCTTCATTCTAGTGGTAGCTTTCAAAATAGCTGCTGAATTATTTCACAACGTCTAGATGGGCCATCAGACACAGCAGTGACTGGAACACTGTCATCCTGAATACCAGTAAAACAGCAGCTGCTTTTCTAATTGTTTTTGAGTAAAGATCATTCTCTCTCTACAAACATGTGATGGAGGAAAGAAAATGCTGCTAAAAATTTCCAGCAGCTATTGGTATTTAATGTTAGCAGATGTCAGCAAATCTAAATGCCAGGTCAAGTGCCTCTGGGAAAATCTGTGTAATCTGCAATAGGACTGGGAAAGATGGAAGATGTTATGAGGAGGAGAATATGCATATATATATATATATGTAAATACATATTGGAGGCACAGGCATTTGGTGCAATCTGCATGCCTAAAAATAAAACTGAACTTGAAAAGGTTTTTGCATGTTCTAGGGGTAAAAAAAAGTTTAGGCTGGTACAGGTGACATGTCAGGACATGGATGAATTCTCTTAAAAAGTAGATTTATCCTAAAAGTGCACTCACAGTTAATAAAGAGCTGTAAAATGTTTTAAATGCATCTTCCAGAATATGTAAGACCCATGGATATATTATATCCATATTATATATAAGTCAGAATTGAATATGCTGTTAGTTCTACCCCCTATTTTTTGTCCTATTGAGCCAGATTTATTTTTTTGCAAATTTAGTACTTTGATTGCCACCACAGAAGTGCTAGTGCATGGAGTGTATCAACATAATAAAATTGAACATCATGCAGAAGTGCATTTACACTCAAATATAGCATGCATAAGTATAGCTACTTCGTTTGGAATAACAGTTTCCACTCACTCCCCCACGACCCTTTTCTGTTGGTATAAATGAAGTACTGTGAATATGTATTCCTAAATATTCAACTGCAAAGTTGTTCTTCCCACTACTAGCTTATTATTAATACGGAGTACAAGATGTTTTAAAATCTTTGCTACTGGGTTCTGTTCTGCTGGGGTCAAATATGGTATCACTTTTCAACAACATAGAGGCTGTCTTGAAATTAATAGGGGAAAGTTAAAGGCAAGGTTAGAGTCACAGCTGTTTTGCAGCCAAGTCTGATATTTAAGTTGAAAGAGCAGTTTCTCTCCCCAGAGGGCATCTCATCTACACTAACAAAACACCACAGTCTAACTCTAAAACCACCTGTTTTATAGCTTTGAAAATAAATAGAACAACTATGAAATGCTGGAGTTTGCTTTCTTTTCAATGTGCTTAGGCTTAGTTAACCACAGAATGAACATCCCTTCACAAACAAATTGAAAGTGTGGTCCTTGCCTACCAAAGATGAGGAAAGCAGAGGTATGCATCTGCTTTTTCAAAATCTAGTTTTCAAACATTCATTTCAAATAAAGCCAGGTTTTATTTCAAGAAACATGGTGCAATATGAGTGGAAGTAGATACATTTGAGTGGAATCTGCAGGCAAGAGATTTGTGGTTAGAATCTCATCCCTCCATACTCTGAGGTGGGTACACAACAAGGTACAAATCATGTGATTAAATTTTCTTTTTGCTATTGTTCCTTCACCCAAAAAAGCTCTTGCATTCCACTCTAAGTATTCACTCAGATGTTGCACCTGTGACCCATCTCTGTGTATGGAAAATAGGTTTATAATGGAACTACAATGGAATTACACAACTAAATAATTGTAGAATGTTATCTGGTAGAAAAAAAAGCTCCATGGCTTTTCTTTTTGGTCTGTCATTTTCCTCTTTCCAGAATTTGGAGAATGAGATAAGCAGTCGGGATGCTTTGACCAAAGCAGTGCTCAGTACTGGGCAGAAATTGGTGAGGGGAGGCCACTCAGCCTCTCGCAAGATTATGGAGCAGATGAAGGAGCTGGAAACATCTGTAGAAAACTTGAAGACAGAGGCTCAAGTGAGGAGACAGCGTCTCATGCAGTCATATGAGGCCCATCAATTCCTGACTGAGGTAGGAATGGTTCACGAGGATTTCATTTTGGCCTTCATTTGCTTTAAAAGATACCTGTCTTGCTGATATATGAGCAGAATTCATACTATTCTGATTTTTCCTATCTGGTAAGTACAGTTATAGTTGAGATGTAACAGTTGTTTTTCCAAGTAACTGTAGTGAAGGATAAACAAGTAATTAAAAGTATTGGGATTTGGGTGCACTTTTTTTTTTTTTTTTTTTTTTTTTTTTTATAACATGTGCTATACTGGAAGGCATCTAAGCTGCTTTCCATTTTGACTGATGCATCTCTTTGGGCACTGATTACAGTTTCCTTTGCCTTGACCTAAAATAAGCTGTGTATAAGTTCATCCCTGTATTTTGTATAGCTACTGGATGTGGAGACCTGGCTGACAGAGAGGAGCTTCATTCTAGAGACTTCTGATTATGGGAAGAATGAAGAATCCACTCAAGCTTTACTACGTAAACTTGAAGCCACCAAGCTGGACATGGAAGGTTTTAGGCCCCGGATTGAGAAAGTACAGGAGACGGGTGCCAGCTTAATAAACAAGGACAACCCAGAGAGGTAGGAAAGTAAGAGTAGGCTTCCCCAAAGACAAATATGGAAAAAGTTCAGTCTTCATTAGCTGTTCAGTGGCTTATTCAGAAATATGATTTTAAGGGATATCAGTCCCTTCTTTACCACCGTCATATACTCTCAAGCTCTCAGAAAGCTTGATGATTTGTTTTAATGTTTTCATAACTGTTGTTTTATCAACAGCAGGCCAATTAGATCAGCTTCTTTGTCCACTGTCTATTCTGAGGAACTGTCACCTACTTCTCAGTTGAACTCTCAATATGTTGAATCATAATGGTTTAACAAGCACCATGTTTGGGAAAGGAAATAGACATTCTTGATAGTTCACTGTTTTTCACTGCTAATTTGCTTTTATTACTGAGAAGAAGGAAGTGGAAAAGAGCAGCAGTGTGAGATAATTTAATCTCCTTATCTAGTTGGTTCTCACATCTTCTTATAACTTGCTCCATGACAATAACTGGACTCTTCTGCATTTCGAAGGTGTTACAAATCCAACCTGTTAGAAAAGATGGTGTCCAAAAAGAGCAGTAAAACAAAAACATACCTTCTGATTCTTGTTTGTTTTATGCTGTTTGGGTTGGTTTGTTTGTTTGTTTGCAGTCCAGCCATACTTTCAAAGCTCCAGGGGATCCTAGCAGACTATCAGTCTCTCCTACAAAAGGCTGAGACCCAGAGAAAACGCCTGCAAGAACAATTCCAACTCTTTCAGTTTGAAAGAGAATTCCAGCTGGTGGACACCTGGCTTTCCAGTAAACAGTCTATTGCAGAATCCGAAGACTATGGGCAGGACTTAGATGGCGTTGAGGTAAAAGAAAATAAAAGGTGTTGTATGTGTTGTGTGGTAAAGCAGGAAAATATTTGCCAAATTTTTTGTGCAGCTGTTGAAAGTGAAACATTACAGTGGCAAAAACTAAGCAAACCAGTTCTCACTGCAGCAAAGACTCAGACTGGTTACTGTCTCCTATGAAAGGCTTTTGGTGGTAGCATTCTCCAATGGAGAATGGAAGTGCAACAGAAAGTTGGCTTTTTCCTGGAATAAGGTGAGGTCAATACACTTGACTTCTGACAATGTTTATAAATTTGAAAAAGCATAACCATTTGGTCACAGACTTGCAACAATTTCAGTAGGAAATCCTGAAATAAAGCACATTCTCACCTCTAGCTACTTGTTTCAAGGATGAATTTCTCCTCAGGTCATGTGGTGCAGAGGGGTATACTTCATAGTGTCCTCTCCACGATTTAGTGAATTAATATTTTCAGCAACTGTTACATACTCTGACAAGCTAAAGAGATTAGTTTCTTAGTTCTGGGCAGCATTTGTCATTTCTCACTGTCTTGAAAGGTTAAATGATCAGGACAATGGGTACTTTCTTCTTGTTCCAGATCTTCTGGGCTTCTCACGTGATTAACACTCAGCAGTGAATAACTTTTATGTTGTACACTACAGAGGAAGTGTTTCTTTTTGTTTCTTTAACAGAGGTAGGCAGAAAAATTTATATCTAAGTCTGTGTCTCTGTTTATCCTATAGGTGCTGGAGAAAAAGTTTAAAGATTTTGTAAATGAGATTAAACCTCTGGGACATTCCAAAGTTCTCTCCTTAAACGAATTAGCATCTAAACTAGAGAAGGATGGCCACAGCAAGACAGATATTATCCAGAAAAGAACAAAGCAAATTAACGAGATGTGGGAGAAACTGTGCCATGCTATCCAGACAAGGACAGAGGTAGGAAATACATTGAAACTGGAGCACTTAATACTCTGCATTTTCATATATCCTTCTTCCTTTCCCAAACCAGTCCATTGCCAACGTAGAAACACAAAGATAAGAGTAATAGGTATATTCTGTTCTCTTTCTTCTTGAACCATTTCCCTTTATTACTTTCCCTGCTGTTGCTGGCAAGATTATACATGAAAGATACCTAACATCCTGCTGGCATATTGTTTACCTAAATTCACTACTAGATCCAATTTCCTTAAAAACTAAGCTAATGTATTGGCTTACCACCACTTACAAGAGGCCAGCTCTGGCACTCATTGGAACTCTTTTTTTCTTTCTTTTTTTTTTAATTAATTCAGCTCATTAAATGAGGGGGGAACCGTCTATGTATTTTTTTGCTGGATCAATGAGTTGAAGTCAAAAAAGGAAAATGAGAGAAAGTGTGATAGAGAATGCAGGGACAAAATCTTTACCTTTTGGCAGTAGTTAGCTGTAAAATCAACTCATAACATCCTGTGAGACAGCAGTCTCAGATGTATTTAGAAAAGCAGAAAGGACAATAAAATTCAACTTTTTAAGTTGGCTTAAGGAAAACATAAAATGTCAGATGTCCTCAGCTATTTTTACTACTTTTACATACACATTTTGAACATAGAGTAGTTCAAGCTCACTATGCCATGAAGTTAATGCATAACAATTGTTAAGATAAACATTGAAACAGCTTTAGAATATTTTAAATTCTAATTTCAGAAAACTTAATTTTCACCAAACTCACTTTATTTTCACTGCAATATATGTCTTTATTCCAAGCAAGTTTTCTGGGACAATTTCTGCACTTCAGAGGGCAATTTCTGCTTTCCATCCTACATGGCAATAAATTTGATACATCTCTGGATACACCTTTTTCTTTCCATTGAGAAAGAGAACTTGGGAAATTAGAGGACTTAATTGTGAAGGTGTTTCACTTCTGCTCTTGTTCTGCATTAGGACATGATATTAGGGTCACTTGTTTTTGCACTGCAAACATGATATATTATATTACCATTAAATTTTTTCTTTATTTTAGAATCTGAGAGCAGCCCAGCAAGTTCATCAGTACGACCATGATGTGGATGAAGTAAAGGGCTGGATGCAGGAAAAGGAGGCTGTGGTGGACATAGATGATTATGGATATGATCTTCCAGGTGTACAAACTCTTCTGAGCCAGCTTGAAGGAGTGGAGGTAAGGACGTATCTATCATGAAGCAGTAGCAGAAAAGCACAAATAAATAAATAAATGGACATCAATGCTTGATTTGAAATATTCTCAACTGCCTTGTTCACAGAACAAAATATCCTTTGGGCCTCATGTAAGGGGTCTTTTCCTCCAAGTTGTACCTTTTGATATCAAATTATTACTACTTTTGTTGCTTAGGATAAACTTCTTTCCTAAAGCTTATTTCAAACTGTTTTTATAATTGCAAAGTTGTTATTTGAACTGCAAGAGGAGACTTCAGCTCTGTAGTTACCAAAATAAGCAGCACGTCACATTTAAAGAAGATTTTTTGGTTCTTTGAATGTTACAAGTCACTAGAGGAAAACCCTGTACAGAGTTATGTTCCCAGCCTCTTCACAGCCAGTGTATAGAAAAGATATGAACCATTTTTTAAATTTGCTTTTGACAGATGTAAGTAGGGACTTAGTCTTACAATCCATTCTGTTTTTATTCCAGAGAGATCTAGGAGCCATTATGAAAGAGCTGGAACGGATTCGAGGAGAAGCCTGGCACCTCAGCCGCACATACCCACAACTCAAGGAAAACATCATGGAGAGACTCACAGATGTGGATGAGTGCTGGAGAAACCTGGATAAGAAGTTTCTGGAGAGAAAAGCGAGACTAAGTCAGGCAGAACAAGTCCAGCTCTACTTCAATGACTGCAGGGAGCTAATGTATGTGTCGGCTCCTTGAGTTTGTCTGCAGGCCTTATTTCTGGTCTCCCCCATACAGGATTTTCTAAATTATGCCTTTGGTTATTTGACCCCTGTTCCAGGTGTTCTACAACTTGCTTGCAAATTTCTTTGAAATTTCTTGCATCTTCTCAACAGCATTTCACAGAACTGACCATACATCAGAGGAGACCACGTCACTCTACTTCAGTGCATTGTTCATGATAAGCCCATACTTTTAGCCCATTTCCTAGATATCTTGAGAATCAAGTCACTCTGAACAGTTTTAATTTCAATAAAATACACCTTTGATTTGGCAGGAAGGTGGGAGAGTCTCTGCTACATATTCAAGTAATTTATATACAGACAGCAGAGCTTGCTTTTCTTAGAACGAAAGCATCCATATTAAAGATAATCTTCTAGAATGGATTAGCACCTGTTCAAGTATTGAAAGTGGTTTACCCGCGTTTATTTAATCCTACTGCCCATATGCACATACTGTTCTGTCCATTTTCATGAGGAGTCAGTTTTTTGCAAGAACTTGGTTACTTTTTTTTTTTTTTACATCTGAATTAGAATGAAACTGAATGATAAAAGCACCTACAAAACATACCTTTAAATGTTGACTTAAATTGTTTAATTTGAACTTTGTAAGTATGTGTAAGTACAGGTCTAGTGTAAAAACTGAAATAACTAATGGAATGCCACTTGAAGTGGCAGTTGAATATTAAAATACTACATTTTATCAATTTAGTATAATTTTCATCAGAAATGATACATATTTATCAGAATATTTTTAAGTAGTATTTCTCAAAGAAGAAATATGGGGAATTTTAATTGATTAAAGAAAGACTTAAGTCATGACAGGAGTAGAAATCCAAAGACAGTGAAGTGGTTACCATTTCTGTTGGGCATTTACTATGATAAGGCATAGATCCAGAGGTTAGGTAAATCAAGAAGCATGTGTTTATGTTAGTTGAAGCAAATGAGACTCATATTCCTTCCATTTTTACCCTTTTTACTCTTTTTTTTTTTTTTTGTAGGGCATGGGCCAATGAGATGCATGCACTAGTGATATCTGAAGAACTAGCAAATGATGTCCTGGGAGCTGAACTGCTTATCAAACGTCATGAGGAATACAAGCGTGAGATAGAGAAGCAGTGGCTAAAATATGAAGAAATACAGCGGGCAGGAGATGACCTAATGAGGAATGGACATTTCATGTCTGTGGAGGTATGCTGATAAGTTAAATATTTTACAAACGAGACCGATCAAAGAAGTCATATTAAATAGGCAGGGTTTGCAGCTTAGTCTGCAAAAAAAAACAAAAATACTAAAAAACAAAATAGTAAAAGGGACAACAGCAAGCATTTCTCTATTATTAAAAGCTGCAGACTTTATGTGACATGTGGCAAAGAAAAAAAACCCTTTTAAAATTCTTCTTCCTTTCCTGAAAAACTGATTTTGAGGCTAACCATAAAAGAATAGTCACTGGCTATTTGGGGGAGTAGGTAATGCTATTCCACAGAAAAGATAAGCCACATCAGATTTTGGCATCTAGCTACACAAAAACTAGAATAAGATGCATCACATAGCAATCAGCCATAGGGTGAGGTCTCTGAAAATATGTAATTCTCCAGAAATTTTATAAGGCCAGAAGGGCAAGAACATTAAAATTTCTGTGATCTGGTTCTCTATGTATCTTTGAACTTTGACACTGGTGGTAATTTCAAGCTAGTCTTGATACTATCTGTAGATCAGGAAATCACAGTAAAACATCTTGGATTGTATGTAACATTTCATTACTTCAGCTGTAGAATTGAAGGCTCTCAATTGTTATGTCATAAATTGATGGATTTGTTGAGTCATCAAGGTTCTCACTAGTTCTAGAATACAAATTCTCTGGCATAAAGTTTCATCATGGGAAAATGTAGTGCAGAATATTGGTCATACAGGAAAATGCATGCAATTACAATACATAATTATGCAGCATGTAAGCTAAATGATCTCAATTAAAAAAAAAAAAAAAAAAAGAGGACTCAAATTTTCTTTCTAAATTATGTTAACACTATAAGATTATCTAGAAGTCATCTTCCAGATCTTGAGGCTAAATTATCTTCTAGTTGGCTGTCAAATGAAAGTCCAATTGGATCTTTTACCTCATGGCATTGCAAATGTTCTTTTTTTTAGATTGAAGAAAAACTGCTAGAGCTGTCAGAGCTGATGAAGAAAGTAAAGGAGAGCTGGAACATGAGGAAAGAGTTGTATGAAGAAAACTGGGAGATTCAATTGCTCCGCAGAGAGCTAGAACAAGCAGAAGCATGGCTGGCTGCCAAGGAGAGCTTTCTTTCAGACCCCAGCTATGGGGTGAGTAAGGACAGTGTTACAGTGTCAAAACACCTCCTAAAACATACTGACTGCTAGGAGCATATGCTAGCTCAATTCTGAAATTAAACCAATCTAAAGAGCAATGCAGCCTTGAGATTACAGGGGGCAGGATTTTGGTGCTGTTACAGAAGGGAACCTGAGTCAGGCACCGCAGTTTACATGATGGTGAGCTTCAGGAGGTGGTGGCTTCGAGGGGTTAGTAGAAGACTGGGAAAAATTGCATCCCGTTTCTTCTTGACATAGTAAGAAATCTTACAGATGGTATCACCTTCCCTGTCATGGGGAGAACCTGCTTTGAAAGGAAAAAAAATTCCCCACCTCCTGTTGGGGCAGTAGAATATGTACAGATGGCTGATAGTTAGTGTGCAAGTTTTTATTTGAAGACCAGCATCCATATATTTTTTTTTTCTATTTGTTGACTATCTTGCGATCATTCTGAAGATGGGAAAACACCATCATAAACTGAGATATTCCACTACAAGGAGAAACCAAGGCAGAGGTTTAAGATGCATGTTGTTACTAGGGTAGGGAGAAACAAAGTGTGTCTAGCTCAAACTAAAATCCAAGTACTTGATCTGTATGTAAATGGTTACAGCTGAAAGCCATGATACCACTTGGCTTCAGTGAAAAAAAGAAGGTTATTTCTTGAGTTCTTTTTCTCACGTACAGCTGCCAGACTGCAAGCTGTTTAAAAATTAAAAAAAAAAAAAAGAAATTCCATTAGACTTGAGTTTCAACTTCTGTATCTGTTCATTTTTTCCACTCAGGATTCTGTGTCTGAAGTAGAGGAACTACTGAAGAAACATCGTGACTTTGAGAACATGCTTGCAGCTCAGGAGGAGAAATTTGCTCAGCTCAGCAGGAAAACTAAGGTGAGATGTAAGAGGCTGATTAGCTGTATCTGAGACAGGATGATCTAGAATCTTAGGTATCTGGAGTCGGTCATTCCATGTAAGAATACTCAATGCTTCCACAGCAAACTTAGAGAAGCAGTGGCAGTTTCTCTAGAGGTTATTAAAGTCTCTAGATAAGGTCTCAAGGTTATTAAAGTCTCTAGCTCAGGGTATAGCAAATAAATTTATTTCTAATGGTTAGAATGCCAGTGAAGGTATAGTCCTTAAAATTTAGTGCCAGAATAGAGTGCATTTGAAACACATTCGTGCTTAAAATAAAAGCTTCTCTGGAAAGTACCCATGAGTGCACATACACAGGTAATTTAAAAAATGTAATATTTATGTCCTACAGAGGGAGATGAATCTTCTGAAACAGACAGATGCAGAAGAAAGTGAGCAGAAAGATAAAGGCAAAATTGTACGGGTACCTTCTCTGAAAAGAAAAACATCTGACAAAAGGAATCCACCACCAAAAGTGATAGAGATAAGGAACACAAAGCCAGTGCAATCTGTGCAACCACCACTCCTGTCCTGGACTCCACTTGAAACAATTTTCTCCCCAGTTGAAAAGCCTGCAGTAGCATTCCAACAATTTGCTTCTGGGAAAGTTCCTGAGGTGCTGAGCAGCAAAAAAACAGAAATGAAACCTGAGAGGAGACTCAGTGAGATTATCACTCCACCTACACCAAAGACAGTGGACCCACAAGCTACATCTTTGGCGCATCACAGTTCTTTAAGCTCTCCTTTATCTCCTACACCCATAAGCCTGCAACGCAGCAGCAATTTCTCAGAATCATATGCCGTGGGCCTTTTATCACCTCAAGAAAAAAGTACTGAAAGCTACTCCTTCTCCAATCTGCAAACAAAATTAGCGGCAACATCACCCAAGCCTGACCAGAATTCATTAAATAAATCACCAGATTTACTGCTGTCTAGGTCCTCACGGGATACATTGGAGACTGCATCCTTGGTAAGTCCCAGGGATTCTTGACTCTCCTCACAAAACTGCTAACCTGTGCTGGTTCAAATAATGAAATACAGAAAATTCTGCAAGAAAGTCCTTTGCAATCAATATGCTTTCCAAAAACATTAAGCAGATATGTACAGCTTAAAAGCATTTTTAATTTGTTCAGTTTTATAGCACAGGGCTTGACACCTGCATGAGTTTCTGGTTTTCATTCCCAAATTAGAGGCTATTCATACTGCTGGACATTCAGCAGAACACTTAACCTCAGAAAGAGACAAAGCTGCTGATTTATTAGTGACATCTTGCCTTTCCATAAGCATCCCTATGCCTAGTGCCCATCGAGTTTACAGAGAAGCAGGGCTAAGTAGCACCTTAGCCCAAAGCTGATCAGCTGGTGCAAGTCTAGAACCAGAATCTCCTAGTTGCTTGCCCAGGCAGGAAATTCACTGTTAACTCATAGATGGGTAAAAGTTGTTCCCTTCCCCTTTGCACTTTAAAAGAGGAATGCGTTTCTCACATACCCAAGTATACCAGTGCAACACTATACTATTGGTGTAACTCAGCATTATTGCAGGGGTGTAATTAATTCTTTGGCAATTTAAGTTGTAAATTGTATTTAGTAATATCAAAATAATATTCAAAGGTAATAAAATTTACTTTTCTGTAATTGATTTTTTATTAATCATGCTATCACAGTCAAAACACTGAATGGCTCTTGTATGGTCACGTAATATTTGGATGTCAAATAGACAGAGCACTTGTATTGTAAGGATGTCATCTCTGTCCCTTGTAAACAGTATGACAATACCCTTTATTTTGAATAATAATGCTAACTGACCTCCAAACTTGGTTGACCAAGTAAGAGAGGTCCAGAACCTTCTGTAATAATCCAGATTGAAAGCCAGCTTGCCATTCTAGGTAAGCAAATGATAGGATTTCAAAAGGAAACATTAATTTCATAATAAACTGTGATAAATTCCCTGAGCATGATGTTCTAGGGGCATATGGATTCTCTTCACATAAGCAGCAAATCAGAGATATGATTACAAACTAGAAAGGATTTCTGGTGAACAAAAAAGCTAGAGGCAGCAAAGACCAATTTCTCTGCATGGAATTTACATAGAAATAGCTTCAAAGTTTGCAACATCTTCAAGGGCTTTTAAAAAGTTTAACAGCAGTGTTCTTGTCTCAGGTTTCTGCAAGTCTCCAGCATATGGAGGGGTTCCTGGAAAAGAGAGACCAGCTTCTTCCAGGACGGCAACAGGTAGAAAAAAAATGCCCCTATTCTGGTTTAATTCACCTTTCCTTGAGTTACAGTCCAGATCAGGTCAGACTTCTTCAGGATAAAACTATGGTGAAGAGGAGAGCAGGACTGTAGGTTTAAATCAGTTACTGCTAAAGAAGTGTCCACTGATTTCATTAGTACCTGATCCTGTCCTTAACAGACATTGTGCCTGTCATAGGAATCATGCAGAACAGGGTCTGTATATCCATAATAAATCAGATATCCATGATAAACCAGAAACTTGAATGAAGCTCCCCTTCAACAAGCTTCATGATCCTGTATCAGCACATGATTGTTTGTTGGCAGAGAAAGTTCCCACTCCCAGGCATTCAGTGGCCGTAGCTTTTAATTTACTAGAAGAGAAAAAAGATTTCAGTTCATTTTTGGAAATTGTGCTTTGTTTAATCTGGAGTTGAATGAGACTGAAATCAGAATTCTTATCCTGGGAAGGAATAATAAATCAGTAAGATAATGATCATAACAGGACAGGAAGTTTCCTAATATTTACCACCAGTCTGTAGACAGCTGAGTGTTTACTGAGGTATTGCATGTAAGCAGGTAGCCTTGGATTTTTTGTCCCATAGAATATTTCCTCTGACGCTTTTTAACTTGAAATCTCTCTCTTAAAAATTGAAGCTGGTATGAATTTCATCATCTGGAAATGAAATCTAGTTCACTCTAGTTCCACTCCTTTGGACACATCAAATTTAGTCTGCTCTGATACTGAGCTTCCATCTTATGAAAAACTATGATGTATCTTCATCAACATGTTTTCCTTCCTTTTCTCTGAATCACCAAATTAGTCTTGATTTACTGTGATTAACTGATACAACAAAATAAGAATACATACATGTAATAGGAGCTTTAGAATTTGGAAGATTCTCAAGACACTAGGCTGACCTTTCACTGGTGCACAGTTGGGGTAGGAAATAGCAGTTGTTTTTGCATAGTGTTCAATAGCATTCTGCAAGTGATAGTCTAGGAAATGAACTAAAATTTGACTACTGTGTCAGAGTGAAACAGAATATTTCAAACTAAACTTTGACCAGCAGGCATGGCCTGGTTCCAGTTAGGAAAATGAAGTGAGCCTGTTAGTGTCTAGAAGTAGACCAAGATTTAATAACACATCTCTCAAAGTTATTGCTGACTACAACATGGTGTAGAAGTTCCTTGAGCTGTACTGTATCATTTGTTGGGTGCTGATTCACAGAACCCTTTACTGAATAATTTTAACAGTAATTACAACAGGCTCTGTTTTTTTAGGAGGTAATCATGACAAAGAGAACTTCTGTGATCACAATCTGGCTCACCTCCTGGCTTACTGTGGAAGCTGCCCAAAGAAGATTTCACTACTGAAATTAAATATATTTCTAATTATTGGATTTTATTATTTTTTTTCTTATAGCCAGGTTCAAGGTCTTGGAAATCCTTCTATGTAAAACTCGACGGACTAAAGCTCGATTTCTACAATGATGAACAAGAAGCATCTAAGGTAATTTCTTTTTTGAATCTTTCTAGTAATCTGTGTGTTACATTTGCTTCATTTGGGGGCTAGGAGTAATCGGTTCTCTTACAAATAATTGGTTTTGTCAAATCCTGCAGTCGTTCAATGGTTACCAACTACAAGACTGAGTAATAAGATTTTGTAAGTTTTCAAACAGTCTTTAAATGAGGTATCTGATTCAAATATCTGCCTTCAAGATTTAATGTGTCCATTGTTCCTCTGTGGTTCTTCCTATTCATTGAGCTTGATCATAAAATTAGAAGCAGAAAAAGATAGTATGGGTGTGTAGTCAGCCTACATGGTGGTAAGAACTGATTCCCAGGAGAAAAGATACAACAGATATTTTGTTACGATTCTGTCCTCCTTCAGAATATATCCACGCTCCCATCCCTCAGCATTGTTGGTGCCAAATGTGAGAGACTGACAAACTACATCAGGAAAGAGAACACCTTTATGTTACAGTAAGTCTTACAGAGAGGTGTGCTAATAAAAATCTACACAGCTATCCTGACTTGTTGCATTTGCCTACAGTCACCTAAGACGGTAGGAGGCATAACTGCAGTGTCTTATGTTGCTTATCTCAGTCAAAAGTAAGACTAACTAGAATGTTTCCTCTCCTATCCTTTTTCACAGACTGAGAGATGGGGCAGAGTATTTCTTTTCAGCACCTTCACCGATGCTGATGGAGAACTGGTTGCAGTCACTACAGAATAATATAGGTACATTCTCATTTTATTCAAGAATTAATTGTGTTTTAGCAAGTGATGGTGAGAGAAAGAGAAGAGAATGAGAGACTGTCCTTAGAATGGGGCATTTGGAGCCTTCCTTTTTGCATCCTTCAGACAGCAATACAAAAGTTACCTGCACCTTTCAATGTAGTAACCTGGCAGGAGAGTGCCCTGGGATGATTTGCAAAGCAGCCTTTCAGTTGTAATGCAGCCAGCATCAGGTTGATTCCAAAGAAGGGTATTACACAACAGCCATAGCCATCATTTCAGTAAAGGGTTGCTTTGGATCTTGATCAACAGTTTTTCCTCTAAATCCACTAGGCAATGCCATACTGGAAAGGAAGCCAGGGGCAACAATTATAACGAGTTTCAGGGAAAACTGGTATAGACCCAGGATTGGCTACACACTCCAAATTCTTCTTCTAATAATACTTACTACCATGTTTTTATCTGTGTTCTTTGACTCTGTAGGACATAGAAACAGACCAGATTCCACAGTGATGGTGAGACCTTTCACTCCGAGCACTGAGACCTCCCAGACAAGTCTGTGGGACAGAGACTCTGCTGAAAGACTAACCAGCAAAAGTACACTCCTGAGGTAGGGGGTTCTGTGCTGCAATGCTGAACAGACACCACCACTGTTTGTGCTTAGTTAGCAGCCACCTATAGAGGTAGATTGTCCCAAGATCCAAAAATCCTGCTTCTCTCCTGTTTATCTGGTAGAATACAATATTCTTGAGTAGGATGATGCCTCATTTCACTTTGTCATTTATGATGTGCTACAGCCAATTTTCAAAACTGAGTTTCAATGAAGTCAGCTATATCCTGTTTGTGGTTAACAATTTAAAACTCGGAATTCTTTCATCACTTATTTTAGTCACTAACGTTATTGAAATGAAGTGTGTGACCTGAAAATTGGATTACCTTTATGCTCAGTAGAGACAAACGTGTTCCAATAGTTGAGAAAACCAGAACAAGAATCTAAACTAGAAGCCTACTGTTTTTCCTCTGAGTATTCTTTCCAGCAGGGTCTGAAAGGAATCCAGACTCTTATAGTAAGGAACAAAATCAGTTGTCTGAAATTGCACTGTTTGAATACTTCAATCACAGACCATTTTGAGAACCCAAACACAGACACTGAAAATTCAGCTGGAGCCAAATTAGGAAATTTGGCCTGTAGAGTAAATTAGTTTATTATTAGTAGATTATATTAGTTTATTGCATTTAGAGGCTGTAAAAATCTTCCAGGCTGTGATATGAAACTCTAATCCCTCTGCAAGATTGATTTTTTTTGCTGCTGAGGTAGATGCCTAAGAGGTGCTTTGAATGTACACAATGACTTAAACTCATCCAGATTGCCCCTAATTTTCTGGTGATGACTGTTGTTCATAGGAGAACACCATCTTTTAGAATCAAACCAGAGAAGGAATCTGCAGCATTTTTCAGAAATTTAAAGGAAGATGGGACTGCAGTGACCCAAGCCTCCATCACCACTCTGAACCGAGAACAAAGTGGTAATAACACAAAACTGCCTCCATCTCTACTAGAAGCAGGAAGAGGAAAATAACATTTGCTTCAATGAAAAACAGACCCTTCACCACTATATCTAACCTCTGCAAATGTATTCATAAGTTTTAATTTAATCACTGCCTTTGGAACTTATTTTAATTAGGCATTAAATCTGGTAAAGTCATTAAATATAATTAAAAAGAACATCTGGGATACTTCTGTGGATATGACTTTGTCATTCACCCTATCACCTAAGTAATACATATTCCAAGTCACTTAATGGAAAAGGAGAGGGAACTTTAATCCAGACAGCTCACATGAAGTGACTGCAAGATGGAAATTTGCCCATCCACCCTCTCACTGGGACAAGCAGCAAAGCTGTATTTAGCGGCCTTTGTTCAGTGGCTAAGACTGAGGACCAGAGGTATAAAGACAAGGACCCACACTAGTCCTCTGATGCTGGCTAAACAAGATGTAGAGCCTGATGTAAAGGTGGAGAATCAAAAGAAAAGGGGAAAAAAAAAAAAAAAAAAAAAAGCATGGTCTGAAGCAATTTTCTGCATAAAATACCCTCTTTCACAGTACCTTGTGTTGGAAAAAGATGGTAAGTGTATACTGAAAGAAATGATCGTGCATCCACAATGGAGCATTTTTCAGAAGACCTGTCACTGTTTTCAGGTATCATACAGCAACGATTCAGGTGTCCGTTGCTGCAGGCCTATAATAGACTCCAGTTTTAAATTGCTGGAGCTTGATTTTGACAAATGAGAGAAACTAGATGCTGTCAGCCCTGTGCCTCCCTCCCAGGGCTCATCAGTCACACCAAATTGCATTACTGTGGTTTTGGATGAGATCTGACTTAAGTCCTGCAACCTGACCATCAATCTCCATAGATAAAAGATAATTGCACTTAAAGATTTGTCTCATCTTAAAATGTTGTAATGCCCTAAATTTTGTCTTGAGGTGTTGATGTAAGGAACCCATTGAAAGGGCAGTGCACAGTTAGCACAGCTTTAGTTGTCTGGTGCTCTGAGTGGAACTCTTCAAAGTCATGGCAACTGAATGTAAATATTAGTCTCGCTCTATGATAGAAGAAAATCCTTTGGCAGTCACCTGTGTGTCTCTCCCAGGAAAAGGACAAATGAAAGACCACTTATTTCATAATGAAGTGAACTTTTCAGGGTTGTCAGACTCTTTTTGGGAAGACATTCAACCTTCACACATTAGAAATTCAAAATACCGTGGGATTAAATTATTGCACATAAACCTCTCTTTCTGCACCTGCAAGCATTCCAGTGCACTTCATGCTATTCTAGTATAAATTGTTTTGAACAGCTGAAAATGGAAATGATCATCAGATCCAGGTGGGCTGTAATGTTGGTTAGCAAGCATGATTTTTTTTACTAAGAAAAAGGCACATTTGCAAAATTATTCTGCTATGCTATAAATAGTCAATTTTTTCAACATTCATTTCTGCAATTGTTTCAGTGTTGCATTTACCATTATAATGATCAAATAGAGAGGCAATAATATATTTTGTCACTTGCCAGAGGCATGGGAGGCCTTGAAAAAAAGTAGATTGTGATATGGAAGCCTGCCATTATTGTATATTAATTGAAGAATAAGTGGCATCCACACCCACAGGTAAGCTGGGACTCATTAGTAATTACAGGGCATAGTATGGTGTAGTGTTTTTCCTCATAGGATAGATACAGTAGCCTGCTGATTTCATCAGCTGGATCACCCAGTCCTTGTGCTTTTACCAACTCTTCCCAAAGCAGAAGCCTCAGATGCATGTGATATCAAAGGAGGACTCCATCCACCTCTGCACATCTCATTTCCTCATCCCTATAAAAACTACACTTCAAGTCCCGTGCCCTTACCTGCTCACTTAAGTCCTGGCACTTCAAAGTGCAGTGAGGAGGCAGCTTAGGAGGCACAAACCATCACTCTCCACAAGGCATAGGCTGCTGTTGCTCAATAAGCTGCTAGCAACTGGCAACAATAGCTGTGGCTCTTAAACTGAGATGCATGTGAAATATTTCAACATTCTTTATCCCAGAAAAGCTTTCCCTCCAGAAGCCCCAAGGAGGGTTAGAAGAGATACATACCGTGATGTATGTCAGCAGTAGGAGGTCCTCCCTACAGATGTGCTGGGTGGAAGGGAACGCTGAAGATAAAATCACCAGTCTTGTCTGTATGTTTTCTGTCAGCATTGACTACAACTACAAGGAACCAGATAGGAACAAACTGAAAAAAAATGTCACGTAGTTATCTGAGGCACAAAGATTGGTATGGCTTTCCAATCTTAACCTGATTTTGCTCCATCCTTTATACTTCTCTCCTTCTTTCTTCCTGCAAATAACTCTTTTACTTTCAGGAACTGGTTTATATCCCATGAATGTGCTTTATATGTATATTTTTTGTTGACATTACTAAGCCTGCTGCTTTCAGCATTCCCCTGGCACATTCAAAGTTCTCCATGGATTTGTCATTTCACAGCATGCACTGGTTAGTAGTTTATCACTGCAAGGACTTACAGTTTTATGCTACTTTTATTATGTGTACCAATTAATTAGTAGTGAACGCTTGAAGCAGAAAGCTAAACCCGTTGCCCAAAGCACCTTGCAGCTTTGAATAGAATATATGGGCATTAAGATTAAGAAAATGGGTCAGTAGGATGGTGCCTTAGGAAAGCCGAGAGCTGCTGGCTCAATGAACGTGATCAACTGCTTACACACTATGGTACACAGGTTTGGTTGTTCTGGGGATGGGAGATTTTGGACCTGAAAAGAATGTTGGTTTTTCCTTCCACCACCAAAAAAACTAAAATGCAGATACATCAAGACTGCTTAGAGTCCCAGACCCTTTTTTACTGAATGGTGCACTAGTAGTGTGCTGTACCTGGAAATACTCAGCAGCTGTGGGCAAAAAATTCCTCCTTTCTCAAGATAGAACACAATCAGCATGCTTTTAAAAATGTACTCTTGCCTGGAGCAAAGATGTGACTGCCAGTGCTCTTCCAGGAGGAGTCCAAGCTTGGAAGAAAGGCCTCTGGCACGGGGCTGCTGGTGGCTTTTAGTTTTCTTCCTCTGTGCCTCTGCCTGGATATGCAATAAGGTGATTCAGCTGCAAGTTTCATCTTTATGTACTTATGGCTAAGAGGTATAATAAATAACATAGGGAAGTGGCAGGCCTGCAATAGAAGCAGGGCATGAGTTTTTGTCTGGAGACCAAGTGCTCTCTTGTCCACAGATTTACCCCTGCAATGGGCTTGTGGAGAGTTAAGTTTTAGCTTTCTTGTTCTGAAACAGCTTTTTTAAACAGTCATTCAGCAGATCCAGAGGGGAAGAGTATCTCAGCACACTCAGAACAGTCTGCAGATGAGCTGTGTCATCTGAGGTACCAACACCAGCCTTGCTGTGCTGTGCTGAGCCAGGCACCATTGGATGCACCCCACCAAACCCTGCAGTGTCAGGTGGGGCTCCTGGAGCTTGGGGCCCCACTTGTTAAGGTATGGTGCAATCGTGAGTAGTAACACTTTGCTGGGGCCTTATTTTCCCTCTTCTTATCTCTGTTTCTGAGCCCTGACCTAGCACAAGCAGGGGAGAAATGTGTTATTTTTCACCCAGGACAGTACAATGGCTAAGGCTTTTCCTTGTGAAGTGAAAGCTAAAGCTTCAGGTCCTTAGCTCCTCAGGTAAGGGTCTTCTTTTAGCTATTCTGAAGCATGGTTCTTGCTCTCCGTTGTCTCAACTAACTTTTCAGTGGGAGGGATGGAGAATGCACAGCCCCAGATTTATGTAAATGCTTTTGGTGTGCATGCAGCACCTTGAGTTTAAATTCATGCTGTGACTGATTCCAATAGCAGCCAGTAAAGTGAGCAAACCACCATGCTTCTTGTCTAGTTTGGCCCTCTCTGTTGCTGTGCCACTCTTCTCAGGAGCATTTATTTGCCACAGGAGTTCATATTTCCACTCTTTTCCAGCCTCAGTGCCTCTGTAAGACAGAACATCTCTCTGGTTTTTCCAGTCCATCTTGAAAGTAGTAAATGCCCCACAAAGCACTTAGCAGCAGCAGTGCTTGTGCTCCCACAAGGAGTCTAGTCTTGTGCTTAAGAAGTGCATAAAAACTGACAGGGGTCTGGTGCTCTTTTGCAACATTATGTTTTAATGGTTGTATTATTAAGCAGTTAATAGATATAAGCAATTTCTATACAGCTATAGCTAAGAGTTGTAAGAACATTTTTTCCTCTGTGTTCAGCAGCAGATAGCAAGCTCTGTGTTTCTGGGGGTTTTCCAGCTGAATGTTCATCTGAGAGCTGTGACCTGGGGTGCATTTCGAATGGGCATGTTGCAGGCATGAATTCATTTTCAGCAGTTAAACAAACATAACTCCACAACAGCAGGCACAGACCTGTCTGTAAGCAAGACACGTGCCTGGGGATGAGGAACAAGCACACAACATTTTCAGTGGTCCTTTCCTTTAGACTTGCGTCCACCAGAAAGAAGAGCAGGACGGAGGAGCACAGGACACTAACCAGCTGCACATCACTCACTGTAAGTACACTTTCTGGTTTTGTGGGTTCAGGCTGTTTGGCTGAGCCCACCAGCTCCCTGTCCTGCCGCACTTCACCCTCACAAACACCCTCCAGGGCCTTTTGCCACACTGTCAGACCAACAACAAGCTCCCTCGGCTTCACAAACAACAAAAAAGAAATTAACCCCACCTTCTCATAGGCAGTGGTGCAGCCCTCATTTAATTACAGGCTTTGAAATGCAACAGAAAGCATTTAAAACTTAGGTATTGTCTTCTAAAGCTACAGGGGTAACACATGGGACCTCAAGGAGACTCTGGGGCACACAGCACAGTGTTGGCTGTGAGATTAACCAGCAGCCCTGGCCCAGTGTGCAATGCAGGATCATGGGTGACAGTTCCATGGCAAAGGAACCATCAATACATCTTCACACCCCTCCTCCCCACCTTAACCTCCTTCATCCTACCATAGGGTTTAACAGTCCCTCAGAGAACCTATTCCCCACTGACCCCACTGACTTGGTTGTCTGGGCACCCTGGGTTTGTTGGTTTTTTTCCCATTTCTTTCACGTTTTAGTGGGCATTTCTGTGTGCATTAGCAGCACTGTGCAGGCACAAACCATGCCCCAGTTATTAGGTGGAGCACACAGAGCCCGTTCCCTTAGTGCATTCAAAATGTGTCACTGCTGTCTACATGCTGTCAAGATCCCCAGGTGTTAGGGGCCACTCATGTACCCATGAACAAAATGGTTTTTTTAGCAGCATGTAAAAATTAGGTAGATGAGGTAAAACAGCATACAGCCGTCTCTGCTCCTGCGTGCATATGCCTGCACCATGGCACACTGCACCAGGACATGTTCTCCTACAGGAAGGTCACAAATCCTGCTGGTAAGACTTTGTTTTCTGAGATACCCCCTGCTGTCATCTTACTTTTCAACTCAACTCAAAACAGCTCTGTCTTTCTTGCAGCCATATCTGATTAATTCTTTCTTCTCATGGTGCTCCTCAGCTCAATAAGTAAGCACCATACAAGGAGTATCACAGAGGCTTATTTACTGCCTTTACTTGCAGCATTTTATAGGAACAGGGCTCAGGCAATGAAACTTTTTGTGGGTGTTCTCCTCTGAGCTCAGATACTGCCTGCATACACCAAATAGGCAGACCTGTTTCTCTTTCTTTAATTTTAAGTATAACTCATTCTAGATATCAAGTACATTTCCAACACAGAAGAAATGTGCAAGAGTTTCCTGGGCCTCTGTGAATGTCCTGTGTTTGGATTAAATATGCCAAAAGCAGGCCCAGCTCCTTCAGTGCTATGAAACCTAGAAACTTCTCTGATTTATGTTTTGTGCGCTCCACATCCTTCTCTACCATCTTTTTAATGCTGTGGAGAGCCATAACAATATTCCAAGCTCATAGATCAAGGCAATATCTCTCACTATAATCCCAAGCAAATGAAAACCAGGCATCGTTCTTTTCTGAGTATTTTCCTCCAGCAAAGAGGTGTGAAAAAGAATTTCCTTTTTTTTTTTATTTGTGTTCCATTTTAGTGTAGCACCTATTAAAAATACCTTGCCTGTGATGTTAGGGATAAAGACTGTAAAGGCGAAAAAAAATCTTCTAGTTGTGAAAATACAGTATCTATGCACTCTGTTACATTAATTATTTTATCCTGCATTCAGCTTGCACCCATAAGAAGCACTAGCTTAGGTCTTGGTCATCGTTCTTGAATTAAATGTAGTTACTTGTGTCTGTGGTAACTATTCACCCTGAGTTTTTTATTTCAAAAGCTCTTGACATTTTAATTCATACAGGCACTGCCCATATAAATGAAAATAATCACTCATGCCTTAAGTGGAATTTTTCCTCCAGCCAAAACTCAAAAGAAAGAACCATACTCTCATGTCTTTTCTTCTTGAAATGTAACTGCCCCCTTCGTGGCAGTCTGGAGCAGCATTTCTCTGCCAAACATTTGCAGGGGAATGGAATAAAGGAATAATGGAATAAGCAAGGGGAATTAGCCAAACAGAATGTAACAGTCCACACTGCAGATTGGCTATTGTTCACAGGTATGTATGACTCTTTGGCCTGACTTCAGAGCTGAGCCCACCAATTCAGTGCAAATTCTTGCTGCTCAGCCTAGCTGAAAATCTGGACATTACTGAATGCAAACAGCCAGGACTTGGTTTGTAATTGTATCATACAAAAAGCACTGATAATGGGCTCAGGATTGAGGGAACAGGCACATGTAAAGAACTATTGCTATAACCACCACCATTTTTTACAGCATTGGGAAACTCTTGAAAGTCCTCTGCTAACCAGGACTCTCATTGCTTGTCAAGTAAAACTACACTGTGAGGCTCTTGTGGTCTGAAAACTTGGGTGAGGAAGATTACATAAATCCTTTTGAAAGCTAGGAACTTGAACAAGGCAAGATGAGAAATGTACAGGTTTCCTCAGACTCCTGCAAATAATGAACACTGTGATGCATTGTAATGTGACTGTGATTGTTATGAGTTCGTTGTAATGTGACTGTTGTAGCCTTCAGTGAGGAAAAGAATGAAAACCCAGCCTAGGCATATCCAGCTCCAGAGTGGCTGGGGAGATTCCAAGTCGTGCAACTTATTTTCCGTTCTACAGCATTCTGAAGTGCCTGAAAGAGCAGGTCTCTGTTGTTGAGGATGTTGTACTTGCTCAGGTTCACAAGTTTGTCAAAATTTTCAGGAGAGTAGATTAGCCTAATGAGGTAATAGGGTGAACAGTTGTTTTCCAGATTTACTTCGCCTTCTTCCATCTCTGAGAGACTGCGCTTTACCCCTGTGGAAGAAGAGAAAAGCCACCATTGTGAGCTTTGCTTGATATACATCAGCTTTTTTTGTAACTGAGCATTTTCACTGAAATGAAACTTCAGGATGTGGGGCCCAGGCTGTCAATAGAAGTGACTGACTGTATTAAAAATGTCCAAGCTTTGCTTTGCAAAACTTCCTGATATCTGGAGAGCCTTATTATCTGTGCTATCCGCATCCAGATACAGCTGCATCCGCCTCAAGCACAGAAAAGTGCAGCCTATAAGGGCATCGTAAATGGGAAATTCACAAGCTAATTCTTCCTCTTTTCTAGAATTTAAATAGTTAAAAGCAGGAGTAATAAATACCTACATTCCACAAGGTGTCTCTCAGCCATCTGGAAATGAAAAGCTCCACTGTTAAACTTGAAATCCACACAAACAGGTTGCCAAGGTCCCTCCTTCCCCAACTACCCGTATCAGCCGCTCTCAGCTTGACTGATGAATCAGTGCCTCCTCAGAGACATGCAGGTGAGCATCATATCTCACACATTTAGGCCTGGAGCACTGAGAAGCTGCAGCAGCTGTGTTGCCCTGCATAATCTTATCCATGTTTCACATAAAATGCCCCTAAGACACTCACTTGTTTTATCAGCTAGCCTCTGTACAACAGCCTCACCTGATGGCGCAGTGCCATTTGGACCATCTCCAGCCTCCACCTAACAAGCCCAGTTCCCTCTTCTGGGCACCTCCTCTTTGTCTGCAGTTTCTAAGTATGGTTTTGTTGGAGTATCTGTTAACACATATACTCTCTAAGCGTTAAGTGGTGAATCTCATATCAGAAAATGAGCTTTACTTAACCTCTGTTGCCGCTCAAAATTTTCCCCAAATGCATCCTCATTCATATCCCAGTGATAGAGGCAAATATGCACGTATGCAAGTATGACCCTGATGGGTAGAAACTGGGATAGTCTCACTCACACAAAAGGCTCTGCCCTCTCATAAAGTTGTTAGGAAGAACAAAGAAGATCAACACTGTAGAAAGACAAATAACCAAAATTCAAGTAAAAAGACTGAACTTACCAGGTGCCTTGAATTCCTTAAATGTGTCATTCACAAGGGGGAAATGAATTACTATGGGTGCTCTCGGGTCCTCTGCATCTTCAAACACGTAACATTCCTTTGGGTTCTTTGCTTCTTCTTCACTTATCTCCACTTTGGGGAATGGGATTTTTTGTATCTTGCAATATTTGTATGTCATCTCTAATTGCTGTGGATACAGAACATCATTGACTTAAAGGAAGTACTAAGACAAGGTTTACTGATGTTATCACAGAAATACTGTGGCAAATTCAGTTCCTAGAATTACACTGTAATCCAGGTGTAGACTAAAGTAGCCACAGAATAACCCTACTTTCTGCCACCATATGCCACAAGTCAGAAGACACTTACCACCCCGTTGAGTTTTTTTTATAATTATTGGAAGGAATGACAAAAGCCACTTTCAGAATTTGTCATGAGGACAGGACATGGGAGATCACAATCTTGTCTTCAGCAACCACTTGTTACTAAAATACCCAGAGCATCCTAGAAAGTGAATGCCACGATCCAAAACAGAGAAAGGAGCCTGAGATCTTTAGGCCTTTCAGCCTATATTGTTGTGGTTTTGAAGGAAGCTTCCATCCTCCTCCAAGATATTGTGACTGGTTTGCTCTTACGAATATCATCAAGATTTAGACAACTATTTACTTGAAAGTTTTAATAAACCAAGTATCCACATACTCTGTCCTGCTGATCAGTTCCCATGCCCCCTCACACTACAGGCACATAAAGGGAAATAATTTTCCTAATGACCCAAGTGGCCCTGCAGAAGCTCTGAAATATGTAGTTGAAAGAACATAAGCATGTTACCTACATACCTACATGTACAGCAATTGAGCTTCATTCAGTCTTTTCCATCAAAACTCCAACAAACTCCATTACTCACCTCAGGAGCTAACCTTTGTACTGTAAAGATCACTTCTATACCTTTACAAATTAGTCACTTTAGCTGGTCACTGTATAATTTGAGTATCAGATATAAATTCGGCTATGAACTCTTACGGCTTTAAAATAAGAATTTGACCAGGGCTGCAAGGAACAGATGATATTGATTTTCTTACCTTGAATGCATTCCCCAAACCATAATCAAGTGAGATAATGACATCTACGTTCCTCTCTGGCTTGAAAAGTGCTGCACCACTGGTGTTAATGAAATAGCCAACATCTATCAGGCAAAGATATTTCTGCAGTGGTGTCAGATTGTTAGGGAACGCGTCCAGCACGGTGTCTGAAAAACATTATGAATATAGTTAGCAGTGCATTGGTCAAAAGAGCTGTGATACACAGTAAAGGCAGCCCCTTGTCATCAAGACCAAGCTCACCTCCCTCCATAATGCGACCCCACAAACGTGGCCTCACAAAGGCAGGCTGTGAGGCAGCCAGGCAGAGGACAGGTGAGACACAGACTCCGCTGGCTCACAGCTGCTCTGGGGATTGTTTTTTCATAGAATACAGACTTTAGCCGATTTTTTTTCCCCCTGCTAAGAACTGGGAAAAAATGCAAACAACAAGAACAATTTCACAGTGTAGCAACAAATCTAACAAACTCAGTACATTGCTGCTCTTTTGCATTGCTCCTTCTCAACTTCTGCATTTTCTAGTTTAGACTTTTCTCTCAAGGTGAAAACTCTGACTTCAGCTTGCTTTCAGTGTCTTCTCATATAAATTATCTTAGCCATGTTGAAAAAAATATCAGATTGTGCATACAGCATTTTCTCCCAATAGCTTAAAGTATTCAAGTATTGCCTCAATTAATTAAGTTTCACACTCACTCTGAAAGCAGCAAAAAGTAGATTATGGAAACTGACATATTGAAATCTAGAGCCAGTATCTGATAGCTAGATTCTCTTTTCTCTGTCCAAAACCCACCAGCCACCCTGTAGACAGCAAGCCCACTACCATTTCTAGTCTCATGGAACAAGAAACCTTTTGTTGCGACTATAAATATCAAAATAGTGCTTTAAGAGACTCCTTCAAGTTGACAAAATGAGGTAGCAAAGCCTAGAGCAGATTGCTCATTCCTTGAAACATCTGTGCTTAGGCATTTTTAAAAAATGTTGATTTGCAGAAATACTGCACATCTTTCTGCCTCCTTGGCCTCATTCTGTAGTGTTGATTTAAACTGTGCAGAATAATTCCAGCTCATTCCATGGCCTGGAACATTTGACAGCATCTTGAAGTAATAACTCATATTTTTTTCATTCCCTTAGAGTCAGATCTTTACAAAATTATTTGCTTCTTTTAGCATTTATGGATGATGGGAATTTACATATTCTGGTGCAGTGAGAGTTATTTGCTTGCCTCCTCAAAGTAAAAACAGAATGTACTTTTTAGTTCTATTTGGCCTAGTGAATATTTTAAGTTGAAATTTCACTACATCCAATATGTTATCATGGACACAAAACTGTGCAGCATTTATTCACGGCTTCATAAATGAATTAGAGATCAGACTTTTCCTTGGGAGAGTTTCTACATCCATTTTATACTCAAAAAGGGACTTGGAAGAAGTCCTTCCTCAGAAATTCCGTCAGAAGCACCAACTACCATAAATGTATTACTATGACTGCCTGCTATGAGTTCTCAAATTTATCACCACCAAAACTAAGCTTTGCACTTGCCATTTAATGAATCTTTTTAATGTTTCGGTTAATCTGAGCTCTAGGGAAGTATTTAAGACAGAACTGTATTCCTGAGACTTCATCTACCATTAGACTATCATTTTTGAAAAGCATTTAGTACTCTGCAGGCCCTAAAAGCTCCACAACTCTTGCCACTGTCAGCAAACTTCAGGTAGCGATGGCAGCCAGACATAAAAGGTTGTAACTTACATGGGACAGAGGAGACAAAACACAAACTGCAAAAGGGAAAGACTCAGAGGAGCACACATTTCCTTGCTAAAATCAGATTGATAATGTAAGATCCTCCCACACTGCTACCTGCTCAAGGCATAAATGAAGACTGGATTACAGGAAGATTTATGGTGCTCAAAAGCTCAGTTCCATTATCTGCATATCATTTCATGGACTGTTTCATGGTTTTTGAGGTAAAACAACCCTGACTTCACTTTGTTCACCTGCAGAGCACAGGCTGTAGAAAATTAATCAAATCTACACTTTTTTGTTGCTGTTGTTTAATATAGATCTAAACCTATGTGGCTCTAACTTTCTACAGTTGGATTTTATTATTTCTGCTTCTGAAGGGTTAAGGAGAGGTGAATAAATCATCTAATACTATACACATAGCAACCACACTTTTGCAGCCAACTCTTTCCTTCATCTGACCAACACAATAACCTTTTGCCTTATGTTTCCAGTGTGACCTCTGCTTATTGACCTCAAAAAGAATTCACATTTCTCTTCTGTCTACTATACTATGCAGAATGACAGACTTCCTGTAGAAAAGCATGCTGTGACTCGTCAAATCTTGTCAAAAAGTGAAAGAGCATCTCATGGACTAGTTCATTTTAACCTGTCACTCTGAGGAAACACACACATGAAACAGTTCCATCTCAGCAGATTTCCAAACCCTGAGCAAATATCTCTAAAAGTGAGATATCCAAAGTCTAAAAAAAAACAGTCTGAGATGTTACCTGCAAACTGCAGCTAACTCTTTGTTGCAGTTACCTTTCCATTCAATAAATTTTCTCTGGTGGACATAATCCTTATGAAATTCTAAGCCTCTCAGGAAGTTATGAGACTTTCCCAGTAGTGGACGCTTTGTTATAATGTCCTGAAACATTTCATACAACTTCCCCGACAAACAAGATGGAGGCTCAATGATAGTGGTATCCTCCTCAGGAGAATGTTTTTCTGAAATAGAGAAGGAATATGAGAAAAAAACATGTGTAATCTGTTCTGCTGGACACTTCTGCTGGCTAGCTGTTCTTCCCTCTGCATTTCCTGCAATCTGTTGAAAAATGTATGTACATGATCATTTGAACACAGAGATATTTGGTTTTGTTTAAAACAAGCACACCTTTTGCCTTCTACGTACTTTCTTTGTACTTCTGTCTAAAAGCAAGAGCCACCCTTCTCATTTGTAGTCACAGGAGTCATGTGACTACAGATCATGAATAAATTCTAAATGAAAAACATTTGCAACTAGCATGAAGTGCGCCTCTGGGAATTAAAAAGAACTGTAAGAGGAAAACATCACAAGGTGATCATTCTGATACAGGTGAAAATCATACTGGAAGATCTAGAATGATGCAATGCAACACATACCAGTTTAGGGAGAACATGTGAAAGATTATTCACAAACAGTTGCAATGGTGTATTTATTTTCTTTACTCATCTCCTTAACAGAAGGCATGATCTGGTCAAAAATGAATACTGATTTTGAAACTCTTACCTATATCTACCATATCTTTGGCCCATCGCTCCCAGAATTCATTTGAATTTGAGGACCAGTACAAGCCATCCAGCAAATTCCTAGTAAAGATGTTTGTCCAAAGACCTGCAAGTCAAATCACATGGGAAAAATACTGAACCAACACGTTAACTGCTGACTACTTCAACTAATTATTTTTTTTAATTACAAGTATCAATGCTTTGGATTGTTGGCCTTGCATGAATATGTATAAATTGACCTTGTTATGTCATAGATTAAGTAGAAGAGTTGAAGCTTAATAATGAAAACAATTCAGTGTTTTTCCTCAAGGGCTAACTACTCTCAGACTATTCACCCCGCAGTGCAAAGTAACAAAACAAGAGGTATCACTCTAGGTCACCTTCTAGATAGCAGATCCGAGATTCTGGCAGCTTCTTCACTCGTCTTCCCATGAAGAACTCACTATCAAAATATTCTGAACGAATGGAGGCTCCGTACTTTGGTATGGCCACTTCATAAGGAGAAAACTCAGCCCACTCTACAAAAGAATTAGCATATGCAATGTTTAATGTCATACAGAATAAGGAAACAAAGCCTACCCCTTGGATACAGCTATCTGAAGGATTCATGAACTCTGCTGGTCTCAGCAGCTCAGTGCTATCACTAGTTTGTACTGCAAACTACACTGTCTTGTTCCATAAGAACTGAGAGATTAATCACTCACTAGCTTTTTCCACCTCGGAAAGAGTCTAACATTAGCATTAAAAATGTAGACTCATATTCCTAAATAAAGATTCTGGGAACCCACCTGTCTCTCTAACTCAAGATCATCAAACGTACAATAAACAACTGTGATACAACCCGCAAGGAATGAAAACTCTACTAAACCAAACGTGTCAGTCTACATGAAACAACAAAGAAGCTTGAAGACATGTCAGCTCAGAATTAGAAAGCATCACAATGTGGACATGGCCATGTAGTTTCCTGATTCAAGCTGCCCTGCATAGGTGTTACTGTGGAACAGCAGTATCTAACCTAAGTATTACATGTTTTTTTCTTTTCAGTATCTGATCACTTCAATATTTCTTGCTGAATATAGTCTATTTAAAGGGTGTCATATCACACCCATATAGCAATCATACTCCACTCTAGAGATTTTTTTTAGATAATTGACAGTTATACTACACAGAACCTCTACAAACAAAGGAACAATCACAGCCATTTCATAGATGTGGAACTGAAGCAGAAAAAAATCATATGATTTGCCTTCACTCACTCACAATGTCTTTGTCAAAACTAGAACTTCATTCCACACCTTCAGAAATGCATTTTTTATGCCAGAGAGTGTTTTTCAGCAGATCTGCCTTTTCTAATCAACACCCAGCAGTTTGCAAGAAAGACAAATATTTTATTAAAAGATAAAATCTTGAAGAATCTTGACTCAGGGCAAGCAACAGAGGCAATCCTCCTGTATTCCCCTGAGATATACACATTGCTACCCTACAGATTCTCTTTAGTTCCTTCTAAGAGTCAGAAGAAACACTTGGAATACTTACCTCTAAATTTGAAAGTGCTGAACTTTTCCTCTTTGACATTGAGGACTGCATAGAAAGGCAATGGGTTTTGCCCATGCTCCAATGCCCTGCGCTGGTCTGTGAGTTTGTACTTTCTTGGCTAATCAAAGGGATAAAAAAAAATCACAGTGAACATAAGCTAAAACCATTGACACAATCTACATGAGCACTGATAGACAACAGATATTTTATTACTCAGATGAATCTGTGAGTCACATCTCCTTTAAAAAACTGCTTCTTTCTCGTTCTGAACTTTCCTTCATGCTTGTCTTTTGGATATCTACTAACCTGTACATTGATATCTAAGTATGTTGGCTGTCTCTATCTCACAGATACTTTAGTCTTAGACTAATGATCACAAGAAGGCAGTTTATTCTAATTCTGAAGCGCCCCAAAAGAAACAGACATTAAAGGATTTAATTTTTCAGGGGTAGATTGTTCAGTTCTTTCTGAATATTTGCCACTTAAATTATTATCAGTTGGGCACCTTAGTTCAGAGGCATGGACAAACCACCAGCTACTCCAGAAAGTCCTGGTTAGAGAATCCTTTGCCATTATTTACAAGTCATACAGGGATGCACCAGTCACTCTGGATTTGTTCCACACGTTGTAACATGCAATCAAAGTGGGAGATGCTAAAGCAAATGAGTGGATATTTCCTAAATGTGTGGCAGGACCACATACCTGGTGGTGTGGTACATACCCGTCCATGTAAGAACATTTCCTGAACAAGTGACCACAGTGTTGTAAAAGATGAGACGTGTCCTGCTTTTGCCCTTTCAGCAAGTTCCTTGTGATAATATTTCAGATGCTCCATAGACATAAGGTTTAGCTTGCATTTTGTCACCTGTGTTTTTACTGCTCTGAGTGGCCCTTCCAGACTCTTTTGTGACCAATCTGCATGTTCATACAGGTCTGCTAGGGTCCTACAGAACAAAAATGCGAGAAAATCATCCATTTCTTAGTAAGAAATACTGTATTTACCCATGCGCTCTCATCAAAGCAGAGAAGTTATGTTAGAGAGCCAATAGTAATAGCTTTACCAGGGAATTATGTTCACTTATTAACAATGTGAGACTTTGAAAGAAATGCATATCTTTCACTGTGTAGAAATGTGGTCTCACATTCCAAGAGTAAATCACATCTTCTGTTACTCACCATGTTGAGCCAGAAGCCCCAGTGAGATAGGTAACACAGTCCAACAGATCTAGCTTCTGAAGAGCTAAGAGGTGGCCAAACATAGCTGACATTGCTCTGAGGCCTCCGCCTGTTGCCATAACAGCTATTACTGGGACCTGCTCAAAACATAAATATCATCTTCAAAAACTTACTCACTTGCCTACTTGGAAAAGTCTAATTACAGCCCTTATAATTTCCTCCTCAGACTTCATTGGAGGACAATGAAACTAAATCAGTGTTTAGACAGCCTTTACCAGTACCTTATTTTAATTCATCTCCAGATACTCAGAGAGTTCCCACAATCTCCAAGCTTGGATGAGTTTGAATATGCAGTGATTCTAAATCTCCTTGCTCCCTTTGCTCTTTAGTGCAGTTATTTACAACGGATAATGATACAACTATAAATAATAAAACTGCAGTAAATGTAATTAAGAATGGATTCAGGGAAGTCATGAATAGGATTTAGAAAAAAATATATATTAATTTAAGAAATGATTCTTTGGACAGCATCCATTCAACAAATACAATTACATCAAGAATATAAATGTTCACTTTAAATTTCACCCTGGATCTTGGCAACAAAATGTACTTCAGCTGGAATTTGTTAGAAAGGGCTCTTTCTCCATCCTGAAGAATTTCCACTTTAGAATTTCATCCTAAAGAAGGAACATTACAATGATTTCATAAATTTCCACTTGAAGTTTTTTTGGGTTTGCCTGGTTGTCTGTCATCTCACAAAATGTACCAATCTCTCATTTTGTGTCAACACACTGCACCACATTGTTGGAAACTCTGGCCTTGAAGAAAGATATATTATAACCTTGGGAATTTGACCTATTGAAGAATATGAAAGTCTGAATAGCTAAGCTGAAATTTTAGATGAGTATGGGATATGCCACTCTGAGAACTTCAGTAATGTTGCCATTCAAATCAATGGGTTTGTCATCAACATGCAAAAACTACTAGAAGGTTTGTGGGGAGTTGCATCAATCGTAATTCAATAGGCCCACACCCCATGCTTGGATTCCATCTCACAGACCTCATGTCCATGTAGATCTCTTTCCAGATGAAAAACCCTTTTCAGGGCACTGGCAACCACTCTCTTCCTTTTTTGCAAGAATTCCTGCTCTTCTTGGCACAGATCGTATCCTAAGCGCACATCAAGTTTTTCTGTGCTGTAACATAAATAAATCCAGAAGCATTGGATTAGGACTGAAAATGCATATGAGTCTGTTTTCAGCAACTGTAGTCTATTAAACACCATAAAGGATCATGATACACTGTTCTACTCAGGCAGAAACACAGATTCCAGTTGCAAAGAAATCAACTGTTTTCCTTCTACATGGTCTCATTATTTTCTCATGGTTCAGTCTAAGTTTTACTGCCAGCTTAGGACTGCAAATAAGAAAGAGGAAGGCTTCTATGTATCCCTCAGTGGCATTGTTGGCTTAATTCTTTCTATGTTTCCTTCATAGAATTTCTAAGCAAAGGTTCATCTGAACCTAACAAGTTCTTTCAAGGGGATTTTACCATGGATCTCTATGGAAATGGTACGATGAAAGACGTATTCAAATAATTTTGTTTGCATTTGTTGTCTGTCTCATTATTTTACAGGATATTTTACAGGATTTCATCTTCCTAGATGATGTTTATTTTTATTCATATCACTGGTTCCACAAATATATTTTCTCAGGAATACTTATGTACTTTGAATAACATACAGAATCTGGATGTTTTGCTCAAGTCAAATTCCCTTCTCCCTCTGCCTTCTTCCTGCTTATCCTTTTGGAAGAAGTCTCCAATCTCAGACTTTGGTTCTTTGAAGCAAATGAGATCTATCTAAGTTCCTTGCTATTTAAAATTCTCATTTTTTTTTCAAGGTGGGGTGAGGAAGCATCTTAGCGTGACTCTTTTGCCCCAGGGGCATCTAACTCTGCTATGTTGTGGTGACTGTTTTATGATGACTTAACTGTTGACATATTTTGCCCCAAGTCTTTTGCATTCCTTGTATCTAAATGAAGGATTCTCTGCTCCAGAATACACTGTTCAAAGAGCAATAAAACTTTCAAAGAAAAAAATAGTCTCCTTACCAATCATTCAGTTGGAGGTACAATTGCAGTGGCACATTCTGTAAACAAAGAAATGTGAGCAGGAATGAAAATGATTGTGTGAAAAGAAAGTTTAGAAATCTAGATTTTCAGTGATTCCTTGAATGCCCCAGCACTACCACCATTCTGCACATAGATTTTGGAAAAATTTGTCAGGAAAGGGATGGTAAGCAAAAAAAACACCAAACATTTTCTAAAGAGGCAGAAGGCACTGAAGGGACAACTTGCACAGGCTGTGAACAGGACTCCCACCTCACTCCAGGAACCAGCAGTATCACACAGCCACCCTCTCATTCCTGAGTATGAAGAACAGTATCCAGATACAGATAGTGTTACGAAGAGGAAATACAAGTCACCATATCTTTTCAAAAAGCTAAGGAGGTACAGGAATCACCTGCTGTGGAACAGACAGTCATTCTCCCTTCTCTATAGGAGCAATGCTACCAAGAAATTTTCCTCCTGCTTTTGCCTATCATTTACTGCAAGGTGTGAGAAAAGATGTCTAGCTATTGTTAAGAGATTCACCTGTCCATACAGCAGTGTTATTTCTGCTTTTAAAGCAATTTAAGAGTTGTACTTGTCCACCGATTATGATCAATATTATACACATAGAGGAATGTAACAGAATTGTTCTTTGAAAGTAAGAGTCAAGTTATCTAACTTTTTCCACCTAAAGCTGAGCTAGCCACCCAAATTTCATACAGACAGTAGAGACAGATTGGGGCATCTCAAACTCTTGCATTGAACATTCTCCTTTTACTGTGTAACAGTACTAAAAGTTGGTCTTTAAATTTAGACATATGCAACTAAAACTGGCCAGGGTGAAACCCCAATTATTGATTTTACTGACAGAAAATTAATACTTCTGAGAAAACCAACCCTTTCTCATAGAAAACTTGTATTCACCCAGACTAAAGGAATTCTTTTTCAAATCGCATGTGTTAAATACTGAGGGTTACTTTACCCATCTCCCCAAAAGGTCTCATAAATGGTGAGGCACTTACATGTCTTACAGGGAGGGTTACTTTCACTTTATGCCCAACAGGGAGAAATTTCAGTGGTACTGTTAAGGTGTCACTTAAATTGTTTGTGTCATCTTCCTTATCAGAAATTTTCTGCAGAAAACAAAAAAGGATGTATTTTATGTGCAAAATGAAAACAATCCAGTTCCCCATTGTTTTGATGAGAGTGAAAATAAGCAGGTAGTATGAGAATCGGTACGGTACAGTACATGTTACCTGTAGCCTGGCTTTTAGAATTGGCTCCCAAGCCTTCACACAATGGAAGTAGAAGGTATTTGTGTCTTCTGTAGCTTTCTGTGTTCCTTCATGAGATGCAGGCACCGTAAGCACAAGATTCTTACCCTCTAGTGGAAACAGATTTGTTTAGAGAATGTTAGAGCTGTCCAGGCAAAACAGCTACCAAAATTGGCGTTTATTTCTTGTGGTAAATACTCTGTGAATTCACACACTGGCAAGTCTCCTTGGTATGAGAATTGGTATTCCTGCATTTACCCCATAGTTTGAAGTGCTCCCAGTGTCAGCACTCTCTCATATTTCCACCAGCAAAATTTGCTGTGTCCAAACTTGATAGTTTCAAGGGAGAGATACTAGAGATGCAGAGTTAAACTAGAACAAGTTCAGGAACTTTCACTGTACTAAATTTTATTGCATTTAGGAGGTTATTAGTTGTCTCTGTATACTGAAGTGCCTCTACCTGGACCTAATGCTTATGATCTGGTTGCATCCTCACTTCAGAGAAATCTGCATACCTCGCAGATATTTCCTGCTTTCAATATGGTCCACTTGTACTTCCAAACACCAAACTTCACGGGACTGTAAAAGACAAAAGTGGAAATGTGTGAAAATAGTAAATGCTATGACTGTAGCAAATAATGAACCATCATCTAGGCAGTCATTAGTTATAATACAGAGTCAAGCTAAACTGGGCTCAGTGCTAGAAGCAATCTAGCTGCAGAAGATTAAATTCATTATCCCAGGACAGTAGACAGTAATGCTTTACAACTAGCTTGTCCATACAATGGTGAATTGCTAGAGGTGATTATATCTGTTCAAGTTATCCCCACATCAAGAATCTCTGACTACACACTGCTGTACAAACACAGCTACACACATATCTGGTAATTACTTAGGATAGCTGGAAGGAAACCACTTGATGATGAATTTCTGTGTATTGTGGTCATGATTAGTCTACAAGGTATCTTCTTGCTAGTCCAGATGCAGGGAGATCATGGATTTATTCCATCCTACTCTCCACCTGAGTCATTCCAGTTCACCTATAATAACTCATGCCAGGACAGTTTTCCAACAATGCATGCCAATCATTACAGCTCTCATACCTCACACAGAAAATGAGAGGCAAAGAACAGAATAGGTGTTATTTTGCCGCAGGGGTATTAAAGGCTAGCATCTGGAAATCACATGCAGGCTTGGAGTCGTTGGCATGAGGTACTTTGTCTCCTTAGCTGCTTGGCCAGCCCAAGGAGATAGGTAATGGACCACATGCTGACTTATATCACAAGAGGACTCTGTTTCAACAACTTAAACAGCTCTTTATTAAAAAGCACGTGTCCCAAAAAGCTGTTAGATTAGATAATCTCTGAGTTATTGGAGTCTTCTATAGACTCATACCTGTCAGAATCTTTGGTTTTCCTGCCAAATGCCATACTGCGTTATATGAAACACAATATTTCTCTTTGCCAACAAAAATGTGATTCTGTAACATCAGCAAATTATGACTGGTCAAAATACTGATACTTGAGGACTTCAAGAAACAGTTTCTATTCCATGAGGAGGGCAACATGTAACAAATGGAAACTGTCCCATATTTGTATATAACGTACACCATGCTCTATTCAATTCTGTTTTCCCTATAAAATACCAGATGGCTGAGGGAAAAGGAGAGAAAGGGAAAAGATTAAGAGGAGATAAAGGAAAAGTAACTCCAAGCTAAATTCATACGTGAATCTTACCACTAGGACATCATTGGTAATGACATACTCTGGAGGGCCAGGACTAAAAAGAAGCAAAAAAGAAACAATTTGTGAGAATCCAGTACTTTTAATAGCAGTTTCATTACTTCCTGTGTAAGACTGAATATAGTTACATTAGTGTCATCCTTTACTTACTGAAAGGTATACTATGTGATCATCTGCTAAACACATGAACCAAAATGCAGTACCTAACAGAAGAGCCCATAAAAATATCAGTTCTTTAAACTACAAGAAAAAAGATGTATTTGTCTATTTGGAATCATGCACTGCCCTTACCAAATGGCCACATGGCTTGGGGAAAAACAAAGATGACTAATAATGTACTCTCCAAATACTTTTTAGGAAAGACATTTTTGACTGATCTAGATAATAATTTACAACTGGTCCAAAGAAAGGCAAATTAGAATTGGCTCCCATTGGGCTAAATGTACGACTGGAAAAACACAAAGGTAAGTAACAAAGACTTTGTCCCTGACATCTCACCTTGGAAGACCCAGATCTGTCACTGAATGGTTGGAGTTACTCATGGAATTAAATAACTATAGAGTCTGCTAACAGAACCTCTCATTACAGCTAATATTCCAATGGCACCTTGTTGCACACATTCCTAAGCGCTCTCATAGATCTGAAAGGACCACTGCAGTTATGTACTACGTGATCTTTGACCATCTGCAAAATCAAGGATATTTTACAAAGCAGCACATCCAGCTCTCTAACTTCTGCAGAATGCATTCATCTTCAAATAACTTGGTTTCACTTCCAAAAATGGAGAATCCCCTACACCTCTAGTAACTTGAGCTGTGAAAAATCTTCCGTTTATTTCTAGTTTGAATTTGCTCAGTCCAGCTTCTTAGAATTGCTTCTTACTCTGAACTTTAATCTGGTTGAGACTGACTCCACATTTGCAGGACATGCTTACACTACCTCCTAAGGTGTCTATCATAAAAGAATGGATTTTCTAAGAGTTTTCCAATTCACAGCTGCCTGTACTAATCATGCATTTAGTCAGTTTTAAATGGACCATATTACTTCCAAGAGCATTTAAGAGAGAGAGTATTGAATTTGTTCTCCTACAATGTTGATCATCACTTTGAAGAGGGGGGGATCCATAACTGTGTTATTTGTAGATTGCATGTTTTTCCACTTTAACTAAGCTATCACCTAATGATTTATCTAATGCTGACTACATCACTCCATGTACATTTTGTTTTCTGGTCTTTTAGAAACATCATGGTGTTCATGGCATTATTAAATTAGTGATAATAGCTGTTACAGTGTTATGTCTTGTATGCATCTCATGTGCAAGTTATTGAATCCTGCCAATGTTACTGCATTACAATAATCAGGATATAAGCACCAAATATAAGATTTGTATAAGATTTGTATACAATACACTAAAAGACAGAATTTGCTCGGGAAGTTAAGGTAAAACACACAACAAAAAATTTGAAACAGTAACTCACTGCTGGAAAGAAGAGCTGCAAGAATTTCTGTTTTCTTATTACACTGCCTGGCAGATATATGCCTTTCAGCTTTGGAATTTTACTCACATTTTTTCCATCCAGAATTCCACTTCCAGACTTTCCCATTTCTTAATGCACCTCTCTTTCTAAAAAGAAAAGAGTAAAATAAATACAGATTATTGGAGACTGCAAGAGTTTACCGGTAGAGACACCCAAAATTATAGAAGGATTTGGGTGGGAAGGGTCTTTAAAGCCATCCTGTTCCAATGCCATGCTGTGGGCAGGACTGTCACCCCCAGATCGAGTTGCTCAGGGCCCCATCCAACCTGGCCTTCAGATTGCCTCCAGAGATGAGGCATTCACAAGAAACTTGAAAAGCATTTCAGCACCATGTCTGATGTCTCTTCTGTTAACATTACCAAATAATCTGTATGTCACTTCTTTCCAAAGCTGAGATTGCAGGAAATGCATGTAAGATTAATATTCTACCACTGTGAGATATGTAGAACTATACAATTTAGAAAGACCTAGAGTGGAAAACCGTGGATAAAACAGAAATAAAATGAACTTCTGCAAAGATGGTCTGCCCAGCAAAAAGGCGTTGACACTTAGTAACAAATGTGACAAATTCTGCTGTCATTTCCATTTAAATTACATTCATGTTGAATCCAGCAGAGATGAAGGGGAGAAGAACACTCCCAGCCAAAGAGGTTATTGAATCATTAACATTTCCCAGTGATTCAGTGAGTGGCTGAGAAGTGCATTCCACCAGCCTGCAGAGTCATGATGGGGAATCCCTGTTAAGAGCTCTCAGCGTTCAGGAAGTAGCTGAAGCTCTGCTACGGACTGTCTCTTTACTATTGGAAGTGCACAGCAGTACCTCAGCCACAACTCAGAGAAGCCCAGGAACTGTCACAGAACTATCCCAGTTTTGTTCACTGGACAACTCCCTTTCTTTATTAAAAAATACTGATAGGACAGGCATCCCTTACCTATTGGCTATGAAAACCTCAATAAACTAGAAGAAATCCAATATGAACATTAACAGGAAAAGCCTGAAAGAATAACTGATTCAAGTGGTTAGTTGATTATCTTCAAGTTTTTAATAAGAATTCATCAAGGGGAAATGTTCTCTAAGCATAGGAAAAGTGGAATAAAGCCAAAAAGTAAGAAAGTTGTTTGGGGGGTTATAAATGATGAAAATGACTGTATTTACAGATGCTAGCTATTAACATTTATTTTGCCTGCACAGAGATGTATAGAACACACTTTATTTTCTGACCCTGTGAAAACAGATTTAAAAAGTCATAAAAATCTACCACAATGATAACTGACTTGATAAGATATTGATGATGCAGACCCAAATTCTATCTAACACAGAAGCCAACAGGGAAAGTAAATAATTCCATGTATTTTCAGACTTTACCTCTGATTTCAAAGCAAACTTCTCACGGACTCTCTCTCCGGGTCTGACTCTAGCAATATTAAAAAGAATTGTGAACTGCATGTCATCTTTGCTGAGTGGATCTTCATCACACACTGCCAATTCCAAAATGTTCTGGTAGTAGAAGAAAATAAATACGAATTCTTATTGGACTGCTGTTTTCAGGAAAAAATATAAATAAAATGATTACAGACTTTTGTAGCTGATTGACTAGCACAGTGGTATGAATAATGGAACCTATGCTTTCAGGAGTCTGGTAATGTGGAACTGAATCAAAATCCAGCCCTGGGAAATGTATCATAGAGTAGAAGACAACAGCCATCAGCAATCTCACTATTCCAAGACAGAGAAGATGTTTGGTGCTCTGCACCACTTCTGATAACCTACCCAAAGAATGCACTTATTCAATTTGTTCATCCTTAAAGTTCTATTAACTATGCAGCAACCCCTCTATCCTTCCCTTAGAACCAGCAGATGAAATACTCATTCATTCAAAATAGCCCAGAGATGAGGCGTGCTACATCAGTACTTATATCTCTCAGGTGACAACAAAGGGAATCCAGACTAGCTCAGATGTAGGAATTTATATCACAGATGTCTACAACTTGTTGAAGGGAATGCTACTCTGTGTATCTGCTGTTTTGTGCTAACACATCAGCTGGAAATTCCATCTCATAAGCAATGTCTTAAGTTATTTAGCACATCTGATCAACAGGGAGTCAACTGTGGACTCCCAGCAATTCAAAATTGTAAAATCTCCATTTTTTTTAATACCTCAACTTCTCTCTGAATCCTAAAGTAGAAAATCTCATTCCAGACAGGGTTGTCAGAATTCTTGATAGTTTTGGTCTGAAGCTTTTCATTTGAAGCAGATGGCAGCCACAAGCGCACATAGCAGTCTGATGCAGTCACTGCAGCAGAAAAATAAAATAAAATCCAGACGCCAATATTATGGATGGGCAAGGCCATGATTCTGGGGAATAATAAATACTTTAAAGAAATAATAAAATATTAAGTAAAGAGATCACTGGTTGGAAGCAACCAAGGAAAACCATTGGTATACAAACTAATTTCTGGGCAGCTACAAATTGCAAATACCACATGCATGCATGCACACACAAGATACACTGAGAGCAGTGTTTCCCATGTGAAGAGAAAGTAGAAAAGAGCCCGCTGACCATTCATCAGGCATATTCCCTACCATTCCAGTCAACTGTGTTTAAAAGAAGTTTAACTGAAACTAGTGCTAGTTCCAAAAAGGACAATTAGGATGGTTACAGGAAAGGAAAACACATATTATAGACAAGATGACATGAGACTGGCTTGCTCAGTCTCACAACACAAACATGGGGGGACATGACTGCTGTCTAGAAGGGTTAGCTACTGGGGAAGATCTGTTGCAGTTACAGGCCACTGTGGACCGAAAAACAGGTTGGAAATCTTCTCAATTCCAGCCTAAACCCATTTTTTATTTGGTTAGTGTGGTCAGTGTCTGGAGCAGCTGTCCTTTGGGAAAAGCAAGGCCGGAAAGCACATTTACTTTGTGGAGCTTGACAACGGTGTGAAAAGAAATCTCCAAGTTGATGTCTTTCAGAGCTGGAGTCTGGACTTGACTGAAGACGTCTACTGCAGCCCGAGAGGCCTAAATACTTCAGACTGGTATCAAGCAGTGAATAACAATGCCCCGCAAGGTTTTGGCAGGAAAGTGGAACTGTCCCTTCAATAGAGTAGACAGAACAGGTCATTGAGACTCAAATACAGGCCTCGTCACACTATGGCCATTCTGGTGTCCACCTCTGGACATAATACCTGAAGTACAGTGAGAGTATAAGAAAAGGCAGCTTGAGGTCTTTCTGCTGGCTGAGGAGCACATAGAACACTGCAAAAAATGACAGCTGAATGGCTGATCCATCAGACACTCTGAGAATGAGCCATAGGAGGCTGTGAGAGTGAGATAAGAAGTTAAAGAAAGTGGAATAAAAAAGTAGACAGAAAAGTCTGTTTTGCCTGCACATTCAGAACGTGGTTAGGGCAGGATCTACAGAGGTTTTCCTTAGTCAAAAACTTAGGAACATTATTTAACATGAAACACCCCAGATGACCCTTTTTAGAAGGTCTGAAATTCCCTAATTGATCTTTGACTCCAAGAAAATATATAGACTGCAGTTCCCTCACATGGTCTACTTTCCCTTACTGGTTCAGAAAGTTCAGCTGGGAGTCTTGGATTTCACAGTTTTTCTGAAATGCCAATAGATCTGGCCTCTAAACTAATGATACCTCAGGCATTTGATCTAATTACAGCCCTGATGTTAGCACTTCTATTGCTCTGCTTTATGTGTATATGTTATTTGTATACCTTCAGAACTTAGGAACATTGCTCACTGTGTAAACTCTAGAGGTGACTAAAAACACAAGCAAACCACAACTCACATAGGTCTCTTGACTTGATGTTTCTGGCTTGTATGATTCTTACAGAAAGCATGTAGATGGGACAAATCTTCATCTGCAGAGAAAACAAATGCAATGAGTTTTGTCAGCTCATCCTACAGAAATCATATGCATTTTGAACTGTACAGAAGACTGTCTGTCCTTGTTGCTTGCCTGTTTGAAATGAGGAGGTCACCTTTCAGTGGAAGCACGCCATGCTAAGATGAAAGCATGATTACCCACTATTTGCTGAGTATTTGCAGACTATTTGCTGAGTAGCTTGAATAAGTGAAGACAGAGAAAGAAAGAAGACAGCAGCTCATATAATGCTATAGGAAGCTCCTGTAGTCACCCAAAAACGTCCCTTTACAAACAATCTCATATATACATGGTTGCAGTGATGATTGTTCTGCCAACCCACAGAGGAACTTACACCACAGCTGGGTCAAAACTGGGCCTTTGGAAGGCAACACTAGGAACTCGCAGCTGCCTGCTTGGGTCTGGGCTCAGTACTGATACTGGCTCTAGATCTGGCAGTTACCAACAGTTTAAAAGCTTCCAATCTCATATCCCAAGTAGGACTAGATTTTCATGATGTTATAAGTAGGCCAAGTTCAGCAATAGGCATTTACTGGATTGCACTACAGGCTCTAAGCGGACTCTATGCCCAGCAGAAGCCCTTCAGATGAAGGAAGAATAGTGCCCTGATTTATAGGGGTAGTATCACAGAATCCTACATCATTAGGTATCTTGAATTCATCTAATGGAAATGTGACCAATTCTCTTTCAGATATGAGATTTATTCCTATCAGAAACAAGGTAACAGTGCAATGTTTATTTCAAGTTACTTGCTCCAAACTCTCACGAGAGTTAAGCTTACCAGCCTAAGATACTCAAAAAATACTCAGTGCTTTCAAAGAACGTTCCAATAAGCCTGAATGAACACACACATGCAGATGCAATAAACTTAATTAAAGGAAAATATTTCCCTTTTTTCTTGCTCTCCAAACTGGAACATTTAAAATTTATTTTCAAGCAAAAATAACGAACTGTCTCTCTATCACTAACAAATTAGAACAGGGACAGATCGTGCAAAAAATACTCCATTAGTTTTCACGGTACTTTAAACTACACACTGACTGAACAAGAACCATTCCTATTACGTTTTCTTCCAGTTTGAAACTGAAATATTTAGAACCTTATGAGTTTAACACATTATGGACATTTCAAGTTCCAGTGAGGACAATTCCAAACTATTCCAATAGACCACTGAAAGAATTTGACTTCAATTTTCCCATGCAAATAGCTATTAAACATAGAAGTACCAACTGGAACACTCAGCATTCCTAGTAGGTTTCATTAACATGAAATATTGGATTACATAGCCAATTACAGGGCTGACTGTTTTTAATTAATATGCTAATTCTGTTTTGTAATCAACTTCCCCTTGCTCAATGGAAGCCCAAATCATTCTCAGATTTCGCCTTCACTGGAAAAATAGATGTGGGTATATAATTTGCTCTGAACCTTACATGATGAAAATTTCCTAATTTCTTACAAAAAGGTGCATCTGTAGTTCATTGTCAGGCTACTCTTAGTTGTGATAGGTGTCATGCTTTTGCATCTTCTCCCACTATAGACAGAAAGCCTCATACCTCCTCTCTTCCCCTTTCAGCAGCAAGCACTACATTTAATGAAAAATCATCTAAGATGACTAAATTACTTCGGATTTGGTGCAGCATAGTCCTTGTGTTGTTGCAGGGAAGGGATAAGCAAATTCAGATGGGTAAAGGCAGCTGTAACAAATCCTACAGACTGCAAATTCCCTTGGGAAGCAAGAAGACATCCTGCTCCCAAGGCTGCAGTTACTCCAGATTGTGGTAGCCATTGAGAATTGGGCTAATTCTCTTTTTCATCAGAGAAAGACTGAGCTCATTTCCCTTTACAACAGTCCAGGCTAGCCCAGCAGGGGCCTGATTTAGACGGTCCAAAATAACACCTTTGTTCAAAAGTGCTAGTGCTCTAAAACACTTTTCATTTGCTGTTTTCATAACATGAAAAGCAAAGTGCAATATTGCTAATAATAAGAATTGCTAAGCATGAGTGTTATATCCAGATAGCTCTTTTGGAGCTATTTACTTGCAGTTCTACTGATCTTGTTCCTTACTTCCTTGTGAGAACTGAAGTTTCCTGTATAGGCTCACAGAGACCAATATAAAGCTTCTGGAAACAACCAGAGTCAACTATAGTCTTCACTGAAGCACATCATTCTATTTTTGCCTAGAAATACAACCGTCCTTATTTGCTGGAAAATTAATAGTGCCACATTGAGGCCAACAATAGAGTGCAGGACTCAGCTACCTGTGTATGTCTGCATCCTATACAGTAACACTCCAGACCAACAAATAGTGGCATGTCCAAACTCCCAAAGAGTATTTCAAAAAAATGCATTAAAAAATCTTCTTTTCATTTGATAGCACTTAGCATTAAACTACATTTCTGTACTCTTAGAGCAAGTTCTGAAGGGGCCATTTCAAGTCTAAAATAGAGAAAATCCAAGGAGATAAAACTAGCTACAATTGCGTAAAACCCTAAGCAAACTGAAAATTCACATCTGTTTCCAGCTTTGCAGTGATGATTGTAATAACACATTGGCTGGCCTACTGTCTGGCTTCCAGGGAATAGTCATATGCCTGTCAGCTTCAGGAGGACACATAATTAGCCTTCTCTACTGTTTACAGGCAATTAGTCACTTCAGGGTTTCATCCCAAAAAGAGAACTTTGAGAATATATGAGCTTCTCAAAGCTCATTAATAATGAAAAAGCCTACTGAGACAGTCTTCAGATGGCAATGAAAGAAGCAAAACCTACCAACAACTCACATCCTTGATTTCATTCCTTACTGCCCCACCATGCTGCTCGCCGAACAAGGCCTCATTCACTAGTAAATTATTCTTCTAGGAGAATAGTTTCTGCAGAACTTGACAACCTGGGAAATTCCTCCCATCACCATTGGTTTGTACATGTTGGAAGTCTGACTGGAATCTCAGTGTTGCACTTCCCCAACTCCAAATCTAAGCAGTTAACAAAGTAGAATTACCACCACGGGATAACAACAGGTTATATGAAGAGTTTTATAAGAAAAGTTTGCACCCTGTCTTTTGGCATTCTCTGAATAGTTTTAGGGTTTTCTCTCAGTTTTGTCAATATTTTTAGGCATAAATCATTACTTCTTTCCATGCATTATTTTTTCTCTCTCCAGTGGCATACTACAAGCAGTGCAGTATCTTACGTAGCGGATCTCACACCATATATGATCATTTGGCATATTCTGATCATTTCTTTTATCTTAGATACCAATGGTTTACTTCAACTACAGTTTGGAGGTAGTTTATTAAATCAAGGGTAAAGCAAAAAACTTAAAAAAAACCCACAACACTTTATGACCTTCTTGATCAGCCTGATTCCAAAACACTCTCCCACATAGATTCTTTAATAGATAATGTGGCTGAGGGCATTGGAAGTTGAACTTTTAGAAAGAAAATCTAATTTTGTTTATGAATACTTATTGTAATTTCATGTTTTCAGTGATAGATTGTTTCAAGAGTCACAATAGGTTTGGGATGTACCCTCCTTATACTCTACCTGTCTTCTCTTTACCTGTATGGGTGATTGCCTCAGGGATTTGTACTTATTTGTACTGAGTATCTTATTATAGGAAAAAAATATTCCATGGTTCAAAAAAACTGCTAAAGTGATAACTCTTGTCTGAGCAGAAAATACGCCCTTATGAAAACCAAGAGTTTTCTTAGAAAGCTGCAAATAAATACTGTCCACTACTTCTGTGCAAACTCTGTAGTATTTTTAAACAGTAAAAAAGTAGCTTGGAGATTTTCAATAGGCCTTTCTAGATAGTATGAAGTATCCACGCTTTCCAGACAATTTATAATCTAAAAGAAAAAGAAGAAAATAAAAAGAACACAAAACCTGATTTCTGTCTCTATTTATCCAATTAAACATACTGAAAAAATGCATTTTCCTGACAGAATGTCACAGCTCCTGCAGTACTGAATGAATATTCTTCTGTGGGAGCAAAAACCTTCTGACCTGAAGCTATGCTTGAACTCTACATTTTGTCCATATTGCCCATAAAGTGGGAGAATATCTAAACTCAGGGAATAGCAGCTGTAGCATTAGGTTCAAATGCAAGAATTTTCTCTGTAATAGAGACTTTTCAGATAAAATGTAATCTATTCTATCTACCCATCTATCAAATTCAGTGTTACCTTAATAGATAGAAGAGATACTTTAAATGGAT